GAAGGAAATATGAAGACATCATTTCATTTGCGCATGCGCTGCAAAGTTCTAGGACGGTTGAGAATCGGTAATAACAAGAACCCGAACAAAGCTAAAGAGTGTCATTTTTAGACCTAACAATTGACAGACGTTTGGACTGGAAAGAACATTAATAATATTGCGACTTGCACTTCGAAGTTTTGCTTCGCTCTTATGAGTTATTACAAATGAAGTAGGTGTTGAAGCAGCTTTGTCAGCATACCATGCCTATATTCAATCTAGAATAAGATACGGCCAAATACGGCATTATATTTTGGGGAAATTCTCCAGATATTGAAAGAATAAATATATTACAAAAGAGATGCATCAGAGCAATTTATAGAATGAGGACAATTGATACTTGTAGACATATTTTTGCTGAGCAGAAAATATTGACAGTTACATCAAAGAATATCTTAAAACTATAATATTCTTTGGTTACATTTTGGTTACATGTATATATTTGTTAAAGACGTTTTTATTTGTGAATAATAATAGGGATTTATCGATAATCTAAGGGACTTATTTGACCAAAATATAAACACGCATAGCTATATAACACGAAATAAGTTGGACTTATAAATGTATGTCCTAAAATGCTTAGTTTCGGAGATACAGGGTGTAGAAGTTTCATTTTTATTTCGACTTTCTCCAAATCATTTCTGCAGTAACGTCAATATTTTAATGAAAATTGGGTTCTGGGAGTTTTTTGACATGAGAAATTTGATTCCATTGTCCATATGACTCCTACTTGTAGAGGGCGCCACCTCCATATTTTTTAACTGGTTTGAAAAGTAATAACTTTTCGTCCGTACCTTGTTTATTTACGTATAAAACTGCTGATTAAAAAAATGTACATTTACGACGTTTTTGACATAAAAAGGTCTCTTGGTAAAAATCGCTATGAGTAATGGTTCTCGAGATATTTGGAATCAATACCTTATCAATACCCTGTCCAATACCTGTCATCATTGTCATAAATTAAACACGTTGACTAAATAGTTATTATACTGATACATAAATTTGAAATGTTTTTGTGCCAAAAGTTCAATAGAAACTGTTTTAGCATCAGGGTTAATTTGAAAAAATAAAAAGCTCACAAATTTATCATTTCAGTCGAATAACTATCTATCAACATGTTTATTTTTTATCAATAATGACATTTTATCAATAATGACATTGACAATATTGACTATTTCCATTCTAAATATCTTGAGAACGGTTGCTCGTAGCGATTTTTATAAAGATACATTTTTTACGTAAAAAAATCTCGGAAAAGTATATTTTTTCACTCAGTAGTTTTATACAGGTACGGACGCAAAGTTATTACTCTTCAAAACAGTTAAAACACATGTAGGTGGCGCCCCCTACAAATAGGAGTTATATTGACATCAAAATCAAATTTTTTAAGTCAAAAAACTCCCAGACACCAATTTTCATCCAAATATTGAGGTTGCTTCAGAAATTATTTGGAAAAAATCGAAATAAAAATGAAACTTCTACACCCTGTATGTCAGAAACTAAGCATTTAGGACATAAATTTATACGAACTTTTTTACTTATTTTTATCTGCAGAATATGATGTTTAAGTTTCCGGAATACAATTCGGACCACCCTGTATATAAGACATATTTTGAATGTGGTAGACAATGATTCAGTATTGCAACTAAATACCGAATTTTGGACTTCCATTGTCTTTATCTACACAACGTTTCAGTCAGAAGTATCACTGACCGCTATTAGTTCACACTTGATAACGGTCAGTGATACTTTTGACCGAAACGTTGTATAAGCAAAATAAATAAAGACAATGGAAGTCCGAAATTCTTTTAGTTTCATATTTATACCTATTATTTTAGTGAAAATATGTCCAGAGGGCTGGGGTTGTGGTTATCAATAGACATTGTATTATCGAAAAAAAAAACGGCGTCCACTTGGCTGTAAAATAATGACTATCGATGACATTTCCCATATAAATCTATGTATAAAATCCTGAAGTGACTGACTCACTGAATCACTATTCTGCTCAAACCACTCAACGTAAAGGGGCGTCCAGACAAGATGAGCGAGCAGTAACGAGCGCGAGCAAACATTTATTCAAATTCACTCGTGATTTCTGCTGCTCTCGATCACATGATCAGCTTCCGTCCAGACTAGCGATTATTTATATGTTCGGCGTTGATCGGTGTGTGGCACTTCATGTTCATAATGCCGGAAAAAATTATTGCTTGTGCGTCTTCCATTGTATTTTATAAATCATTGAAACGTCAAAAGAGAAAACGACTGCAGAGGAGATGGTGGAACATAACTCTTTTTAAAAATCAAGTTTCTCATGGTGGTAACAATTTACTAAACGATGTTGAAACAGAAGATTTTGGAAAATTTAAGAACTTTTGTCGGATGTCACTTCCAGACTTTAATACCTTATTAGATTTAATTAACATAAAAATAATGAAAAGTGATACCAATTACCGAAAAGCAATTTCACCTAGAGAAAGGCTAGCTATAACCTTACGGGTCTTGGCGATTTTTGTACTCCTCTATTAAAAAAACAACTTCATTCGGCCATTCCATTTTTGATATTCGATCGCAAACGTGGTAAACAAAATCCTATCCAAACCGAACGTGCAATAGCGCGAATTTTCTTTGATGTACCGACACGGCGTGGAATAGCGTCGAGCGCGAGCAAGCAATCATTCGCTCGCTCGCAGAGCCGTCCACACCAGTTAAGCGTTCCCATAGAACATACTCGAATTCTTGCTCGCTCCTGCTCGCTTATCCGGTCTGGACGCCCCTTAAGAAGCTCAATTTTGGCATACAGGTTGATTCTAGGGTGTAGAGGTTCGATAAGAACGGATTTTTCGAAATTGCTGTTCCAAGGGAGTGAAACCAACCCTCAAATATTACAATATTTTTTATTTAAAAAACGGTCAAGTTTCCGGAAAAACATTTAAACACGTATATTTTATTTTGTTTTTTTAGATATTTTAAGATTTTTAAAAAATGTATACAGGGTGTTTCGAAAAATCTAGTCATTATAATTAATCACTATCCTGATTAACGTAAAAGCTGATTGACGCGCTGATTAACGTAAAAGCGCTTGACGTAAAAAGCTGATTTTTGGAAAACGGATTGACTTTAGGGTGTAGAGGTTCGATAAGATGGGATTTTTCGAAATTCAAATTCTAAGGGGGTAAACCACCCCTCAAATATTAGAATATTTTTTCATTTAAAAACCGGTGAGTTTTTCGGAAAACTCTTAAACACGTATATTTCATTTTGTTGTTTTACATATTTTAAGATTTTTTATAAATTTATACAGGGTGTTTCATAAAATATGACCATTGAGTAATGACGATTCTGCTTAAACTGCTTGACGATTAAAGCTGATTCGATAAGGAGGGGTTTCTCGAATCTCAAATTCCAAGAGGGTGAAAATAACGCCCCTCAAATATTACAATATTTGTTATTTAAAAAACGGTTAGTCTTTCGGGAAAACGCTTGGACACGCATAATTTATTTTTTTACATATTTTGATTTTTTTTTAAATCATACAGGATATTCCAAAAAGTTGGGTAATTGATTAACCACGATTCTGCTTAAAGTGCTTGACGTAAAAAGCTTATATTTGGCAAACGGATTTTTCGAAAGTCAAATTCCAACGATATGAAACTACCCAGTACGATAATCTTTATATGTTCGAAAGGTTCAATTTTATTTATAGATCTTTGAACATATCTTCTTATTCTTATACTTTCGGACGCATTTTGTACTCTTTTTTTTTTGTAATAGAAAAATATGTTGAAAAATATTTTCGCTCCTTGGAGACAGGTCGAGGAACCTCGCTGACCATTATACTGCTCTACCATTTCCCATTGTCCCATTCATCTTCCGAGGAAATGATTTGGTTGTTTATATTATATTATATTTATATTATTTTTTTATTTTTTATTGCATTTTATTTTCCGTATTCAATGTTTTACCCCACGTCATTGTTAAGTTTGAAGGCTTATCAATATTGTAACGATGAATAGATTAAATATTAAAAAAAAACAGAACCGGACTTGAAATTGGTTTAAATAAATTGTGTTCAAATGTTCGAAACAAAAAAAATATTAAGTGTGGCATATTATTGTACTCAGAAGACCGAGTTCTTTCAAAAACTGAAATAAAAAATGAAGGGTATTTAAAAATTAAGTCGGCCTCTGTATCTCACAAATTATCAGCTAATTTGAAAATCTAAAAATACTCTCAGATAGCCGTAATGTGGTTATGAGAATGCGCAATTAGTTTTTTGATTTTCTAAAAAGTAATGACAGAAAAAATTAAATTGATTTTCAAAAAAATCCATTTTGTTCCAAAAAACTTAGCAATCGTTGAAATTTTTAAAACTTTTTTGGTGGCATCTTGGTGAACATCCCAAGTCCCCAAGGCGCACCTTTGCTCCAATTTAACCATCTTCGTATCTATTACCCTTCTATTACGGTCTGCGAGATACCAATGCTTGTACCTCGAATTTGTAGCACCCTGTATACAGATCTTATATTTAATTATTTTATAAACTAATTAAATAAAAGTATTTTGATAATAAGGCTGGAAGCTATAGTGCTATAGTTTATGAAAATACTTAAAAATAGGGACCTACAATATTTCTATACTAGAATTGCAGTACTTCAATTACGGAGGGCTAAAAAAACTCTCCGTAACTTGCCGTAACGACAATAAAACCACTTAATAGAGGGTCCCTCTCCAGTAGTCCCTCTATAAATAAAACTAAAACCCTTGTATATATATTTTAAGGCTAAAACCTGTGCTAAAACATAACTAAAACTTTGACTAAAACTTGCTAAAACCCTTGTCTAAAACTCAGAAATATTTTTAAAGAGCTGAGTATTTCTGGTTGCCTGGGCTTTTTACTAAGGCTTTTTATATGATCAAAATATCAAAATGTCCCTTGTTTGACGTTGACGTAGTATGTGACATGTGACGTAGTACAAAATCATGGTACAAAACGTTTAATATGTGTTTTTATACATCATAGAGAAACTAAAATAATTATTATTGTAGTTATCCAGTTTATTATTTTATGGGATACATTTCTCTGCTTTTAAGTGAATAGTGAATCGTAGAGGAACTGAAATAAATTATTTTATATTTCTCTATGTAGTGAATGCAAAAGTGAATGTGAATTGTGATATGGACTGATATGGATATTGTGTCATGTCAGAATTAAAAGGCTTTTAAAACGATTGATTTTTTGAAACATACGGATAAAAACACTGGTATGGTGTAGTAATTAAAGACGATGTTTAGCAAATATACTTTTTAATTCGTACAGTAATCAAGTAAGTTTTTAGGATTTGTTTTGCGTTATTTTAGCCTGTTTTCTAATCGAATTTATACACACTATGTCCCTAAATGGGTAGATGTTATTTATCAATAGAATACATTGTTCTACTTATACATATGTACTTGGGTAGTACCTATAATCCTTGTTTATATATTCTTAATAATATAATACTAACAGTGGCATATCCTAACAGTTTATATGGAGGATAAACGGAATTTTAAATTACAAATCGTGAATATTTGACAGTGGAGTATTTTTTTTTCTAATTGAGGGATGTAAAGTCAAAATCTCAATTAATTATTTTCTTAACTTTCCCTCTACGTCCTTAATAATCAGTTCACAGAAAATCGCAAACTAGAGTTATTCCAAAATTTATATATTGTTTTTTTATGTACCTTTACATGTATTTTATTGTACAGTAAAAGAGTTATAGGTGTGGTCTGTATTTACAGTGCACTTGTTAATTTGAATCACATAAGTTAGTAGATAAATTTTAAACAGCCCACAGCTTGAAATTTTACATTTGCGCACATTAAAGTAACGGGTTATACAAAGTTATATTAGTTTGTTATTATAAAGTTATTTGCCTAGTATATTTCAAATTATTTTACAATTTAAAATGTTGTTTTTATTTTATTTGCTTTTATTCTCTTTAAAATAGCCTTTAACATTTTATATTGAAGTCTGATTGCTCCCTTGTTTAAGATCTTATGACAGTATAAAAATCAATAAACATAGTTTTTAGATAACGAAACTGATAAAAACTATGTACCGGTTGGCCAACTAAGAATGGGCGCCGGCTGTACGTCAGGAACTACTTATTGTATAACTTTGGGAAAAAAATTGTAATAAGTAAACCGGCCAAGAGAAATCGCTGGGAATTATTTTCAAGTTCGAAAAATGTCCGCTAGTGGGCGCATCTCTGATAGCCCATTAAAAAAGAAGATTTTTCTCAAAAATATGCAGGTGAACAGGTGTTTTAAATATTCCTATTGTAATCATCGAGAAATTTGTATTTTTTTTTGATATAGCGTATTTTGCTCTATCTCATAAAATAAAGTGGTGGGGGAAGGTTAAACTTGCTTTTATTAAAATAAGGATAACTCTGGTTTAGGTTAGCCGATTTAAACAAACTAGGTCTTGTTTAAAAGAGCTTTTTTTCTCCAATGGTCTTCAGTATAAATTTTGGGTATACCAAATTTTGTTTCCATGGGTTTTTTCATGGTAGCTAGAGGGCGTTGTTTGACATCATAACATTTATCATAACAAATATTGCGCTTTTGTATAAAAAAATTAAATAGCAGACTATGTTTCTTTTTGCACAGTTAAATAGAGCACAAAACTTCCAAAATAACAGCACAAACCGCTAGGCTAGGAAACAAAAGAGGTAAAATGGTTAAGCGGAAATACTAAAACATATATTTTAGTTTCATTTTAATGCCATTTTATTGTTATTTATTCATGATCATTCTTGACTCGACCCTATAAATAAAAACCCAGGCATATTGAATCCAGTAACCTAGATGGCCATTGAAATATGCGCTCCAGCGTCTCTATCTACTAAAGTAAGTGGTATCCAAGAAGCTCCACACATTTATAGCAAAATAAGAGACACAACTGCACCAACTGAACCATTATGCTGATGAAATGGCAACAAATGCAATTTCCTCATGATGGATTCATGAGGAAATGGCAATTCATCGCTTGGAAATTGTATATCATTCAGATGATTAAAAATGTCCAGTCATTTACCATCCTAGAATTCCTGCTACAACATTTACCGACCAACGGTCTTGGTGCCGAACTACTTACACCAAGGGTAGATTTGGACTAGTAGTGCACATTATCAAGATTCGCACCTTCGGTGCTATATGACAGTAACCCAAACAATATAAACTTAAGAATATAATAATAAATAACACAAACAACAGGTAAAACACGAAAACAAGTGAAATCAAGGACGAACTTGGATTAATAACTAAATTACGTTACATGAAAAAAACCCTAGTTTTCGGCCATATGAAATTCGGCCGTGGCGGCACAAAATTGTAATAAAATTATTGATTGTCCGACTTTCGGACATTTTAATCTGAGAACTACTGTATAATTAATGTAAATAGATAATGTAAATCAAGAAATTCCTAAAAAATATATGGATGAACGATAATGTTACATAAACACGTTTAAAAAGATATGTCATTTTTTTAAGAAAACGTCCGAAATTCGGATGCATGAGAACTAAACTTAAACGTTTTGATATTTTGAAGTAACCAATTTACCTCTTTTTGTTTCCTAGCCTACTACTATCATTTTGAGACCATATAATCCGAGGCGGCAACCTGACATGATTTGTTCTCTTAATATCTCCGGTTAGAGAGAAGATAGAAAGTTGCGGTTTGCACTGATATTTTGGAAATGATGTGCTCTATTTAACTGTGTAAAAAGAAACATAGCCTGCTATTTAAATTTCTTATGCAATAGCGCAATATCTGTTATAATGTCAAACAGCGCCCTTTATCTACCACGAAAAAATCTATGAAAACAAAATTTATACTGGAGATCATTAAGGAAGAAAAGCTCTTTTAAACCAGCCCTAGTTTGTTTAAATTGGCTAACCTAAACCAGAGTTATCCTTATTTTAATAAAAGCAAGTTTAACCTTCCCCCACCACTTTACTTTATGAGATAGAGCAAAATACGCTATATCAAAAAAATTACAAATTTCTCGATGATTACAATAGCAATATTTAAAATACCTGTTCACTTGCATATTTTTGAGAAAAATCCTATTTTCTGATAGGCTATCAGAGATGTGCCCCCTAGCGGACATTTTTCGAACTTGAAAATATTTTCCAGCGATTTCTCTTGGCCGGTTTACTTATTACAATTTTTTTCCCAATGTTATATGATAAGTAGTTTCTGAGATACAGCCGCCGTCCATTCTTAGTTGGCCACCCGGTACAAACACTTATATACATACAAATAAATTTAGCTTTGATTTGACGCTCTCCCAGCTACACATATAACGTTTTTAGTTTGATTAGCTATGAAGAGAATATTATACCAAGATTATACTTACCTACAATCTACAATATGCAGTGATAATAATTTGCCATAAGCAGAAAATTTAGGTGCTCATATTTCAAAAACCACTCGGTATAGATTACGTTTTTATAGTAGATATTTTTAGAGTGGTATTCTCGTGGCAAATCCACTTTTTGTGTCATCCTGTATATTAGAAAATGCGTTACTATTGCCCGCGTATTTAGTAAAAGGGTAAAATCAAAGGTAAAATCTTTTATAAACAGGGGTAAAATTATTGGAGCTAAAATTAGTGGACCGCCCTGTATATAAAATAGGGACGTTCTGTAATTAAAGTTTCACCTTATTACAGAAGTTCTCATAGCAACGCAGTTTTCAAAACGAATTCTCATAAGTCATACCTCCCGTACTTCCGAGAGTCATCAATCAATAATAATTTAATAATTTATTCTTTTGGTCTATAATGGCTATTGGGACATTTATATTTATTCATTTGTCAAAGATATTAATTGGTGTTTCTACAGCTCTGGTGTAGAGTGATAAAAAACTAATATGCATGCCGTGTTTTTTTCAGTTAATTTCGATATGGACCCAAGATTAAAAGTAGTACTTTGGAAAAGTTTTCTTATCAGAAAACGCCATTGGTTCCTGTTAATATGCGAGGCAGTTCTACCAGTATTATTATTCTTTATGATCGCCTATGGCAGGAGTAAAATTAGCGGTCTCAATAAAGTCGAGGTGACTGATGTTACGCATAATTATAAGGAACCACTCAATTATTATGCATCCGGAATGAATCTGGGAGAGACCCATATTTACTATAGCCCTTCAGATTCTTTTTTCGGTGACATAGTTCATTCCGTCCAAGAGAAATTCTCTATTATTAATAACCGTAAGTAAAGTAAATTTAAATAGTACGTTAAACAAAAAAAAGGTGTATATTATTAATTTGTTATAGAAGTAAGAGGTTTTCCCGATAAAGAATCTCTTCTGAGGGCTTACAGTATAGAAGGCAATAATGAAACATTAATTGCCATAATATTCAATTCGCCAAAAAATTCAACTAAACTAGACTACACTTTGAGATATCACGAACAGTCTTTAACATGGGAGACTGAAAAATTATACAAGAAACCCTTTAATTTTGTTCCCGGAGTTGGTAAGAAATAAAATAAAATAAATACAATTTTCTTCTGTAATTTTAAAATTATTTATTTAGGTAGCGGATATCAACATAAGGGATTCTTGGCTCTACAAATGGCCATTGATTTTTCTTTTATTGAAAAAATGGGGCATAGTAATACCGAAAATATATTAATAGAAATGTTAGAGTTCCCCTACCCTCCTCACAAATCGGATGTGGGATTTTCAAGTTTATTTTTCAATTACCTACCTTTAATCACAATGTTCAGTTTCATATTTATTTGTCCTGCGGTGTTGAAGAGGGTAGTTGAAGAAAAATATTCTGGAATAAAGGTATAATAAGAAATATTAACGTAAAGTAAGTATACAATTTTCAAGTCATTCATTCTAGGAATTGATGAAAATGGTCGGTATGAGAAGCTGGATGTTATGGCTGGGTTGGTTCATATACAGCATAGTGCCTATGCTAATTTCAGTCTTACTGATTACATTTTTCCTAAAAGTGCCTCTTTTTGGATCTGCCGAGGCGGTGATTTCGCATACAGCCTGTTCGATTATTGTTTTTTATTTAGTTCTGTATATTATAGCTATTACAGCACTGTCGTTCTTTTTGAGCACCCTCTTTAATAAACGTAAGTAAGAGTCCATATTATTTTATGACCATGGAGTAAGAAGTAATACAGAGGTGGAAACAGTTTTAAAAAAAAATAATTCAAACCATATCCGATCGACACCGTCGAGAAAAAGGGACAAAAAGCCTGCCTGTGTGATTATGTAAACATATTTCCTGTCTAGTGACTCATAAATCGTATACAAATAACATAGGCTAAGCAAGAAATGTCTTACTACAGAGCTTACAGAATCCCAATGCTGACGCCCTATGCATTGCATCACCGAAAGTAGTCGGAAGTCTTTATAAGTACAGTGGCGTCGATCCGTTCTGTAGCTATCGTGCATCAGTAGGGGGGAAACGAAATTCTCTGTTAGCCGGAAATTCACGGGCGTGCCATAAATATTTTAGATAACATTACTTAAGCCGGTTCCACATGATGCGGCAAACATCTTCCAACGTTTGACACATGAACATTTACCACATCGTGTGAGACACAATTGTTAATTGCAATATTGTCGAGACATATGCCAAATATTAGCTACAACGTTGGAACCAAGGCTGGAACCAACGTTGGATGCATCGTGTAGGACCGGCTTTGCTTACAGAACAATTTCAAAAATTCCCAATCAATTTTATTTTTCCCAATGTTTTTCCACATAAATGAGACATATTTAAAAAAAAATAAAAAATTGAGGAGAAAAACAATAAAAAATCAATAAAACCACGCAAATATTTTACCGATAACGACTGCACTGTTCTCCAAGCTCAGTATGCTACCGTTTTAATCGATGTTTCTCGTAATAAATTAGACGCAGCGCCCCGTTAATAAAAAGTCGACAAATTTGCAAGTAGCCAATGTAATGAGTGGGCGGAGTGTTTTGCGGTGACTATTCGTCAAGTCCACGTGGACTGCCGCTTGTATATAGGTAGCGATCTATAAAATATATTACTGTTTAGTTAAATGTGTCTTGTAGTAAATTGATCATACTGCAATATTGCGTCCGCATTCTTGAAATTCCTTTTATAGATACAGATCTAGTAGACAGTTTGTATTGAAATGAAATTTTGTGAGCATATGTAGAATTCTAATAAAAATATAGAGAGTTCTACAGGGTGTCCCCAAAAAAGTTACATATCAAAGTTGTGTTTTTTGTAATGGAACACCCTATATATTAATTGATTTTCGGATTCTGAGAGAAAAATAAAGGTAAATTTTATAAGAAAAGTATATGACTAAAATGTAAGGATTTTGACATATTTAACATTTTCTAGAAATAAAGAACAATTTTTTAAATTACAATAAAAGCTACCTTAATTGGAATTTACCCAGTATAACCTAATATGTAGTTAGATTAACTATTGTACTTTAAATCATATTAAAACTTGATCCAAAAAGTTATACAGGGTGGGACAAAATTAATACTGAACTTTGGTCACCTTTAAAAGCATATTACTCTTTTATTTTAAATGGAACACCCAGTATATTATTCCGATAATCAATGGAGAATTCATGTCTCTTCAAAATACTACTAAGGTTGCCTACCCCTCAAACAAAGATTTTCCTAGATATTTTAATTTACATTATTTGAACGGAGTACTGACGTTACTTCAACATAGTTGTCTAATTAGTCCAACTTTAACAACTAGTTTATCATTTTGTGGCAGTTAAAACAAAAAAAATTCTCAGAAATTTGCCGAAAATGCAAACTTCATACATCAGAGAGAATTGATATGATTCTATTAGTTTGTGAATGCAGTGTGCATTCACCAATTAATAGAATACTTAAATGCTCCTGATTTTATCTAGTCTCGGTTTTTTTATGGGAATATGTTAGACAGTGTTTACAAAACTAGACCAACTATTGTCGACAACATGAGAGAAATTATTGTAGCTGCTTTTCGAGGTAGAACTCCACATATGCCTTTTAAAATGAAAATATCCTTTTGAAAAGACAATTATTTTATGCAGTTAACACGAAAGGAAGCATTTTGAGCATTTGATTTCATGTAGCTAATTTTTGTCACATAATTATAGGTTTATATCTACGTAGTTTTAATTTTGTAATAATTAAAATATGTTTTAAACATGTATCTTTTTATTACCTTTGAGTATTTTACTTTACAATCTTTAATTTTTGTTAAATTAACAAAAGATATATCACACAGCCACCTAGATTTTTTCAAATAATAAAGATCTACTGACGCAAAATCATAAAAATTAAAATATATAGGAAAATCTTTGTCTGAGGGGTAGGCAACCTTAATAATTTTTTTAAAGGGACTCCATATTAATGCTGTCTCACCCGGTATAACTTTTCGGGTCAAATTTCAATTTGGTTTAACATACAATGGTTAGTATAACTAAATATCAGGCTATACAAGGTCAACTAAAGTTTAGGTAGTTGTTGTCGAAATTTAAAATTTACTCTTCATTTTCACAAAATGTGAAATATGTCAAAATCCTTAGATTTTAGGTATATGCTTTTTTAATAAAACTCATCTTTATTTTTTTCCTAGAATCCAAAAATCAATTAATATATAGGGTGTTCCATTAGAAAAAACACAACTTTCATGTGTAACTTTTTTTGGGGACACTCTGTATAATTCTATATATTTTTATAAAATGCTTTCAGTTGACCTACATATGCTGCCAAAATTTCATTTCGATATAAACTACTGTCTTTGGATCTTCCGCGGCGTATGAGAGGCGCCACCCTGTATTTGGATATCGCCAAAACATCGTCTATCGACTGAGTATGTTGGCGTGTAAAGAATATACGGTTTTATGAATGACATAATGAGTTATTGTCAGTTCTTTTTATTCTTTCTTACTTTATGGTAAGGCATGGATTTCTGACGATGTTTTTTAAGAAACGTTATAATAATAGCATATATTTTTAGCGAGCTTAGCTGTATTAGTCGGATTACTGGTATGGATATTATCCTTCTTCGTACCAACGTATATCCAAGACGCCACGGATAAAAGAGAGAGCTTTTCAACAACAATGCTCTTAATGCTGTTACCAAACATGGCGCTCCATTACGGATACTCTGCTATGGCACTCTATGAAGAAAGAGGTATTTTCTCTTAATTATTTCTTGGAAAATTCGATCTGACAGTATTATTTTCTTTTTAAGAGATCGGTCTTCATTGGAATAACTGGCATTTGCCGGCCGATGGGGGATCGAATAGTGCTACAATGTTACACGTTTGTCTCATGTTGGTAGTGGACGTGTTTCTCTATATGATTTTAACTTTTTATGTGGACGCCGTTAACCCTGGAAAATATGGAATTAGAAGATCATATTTGTTCCCGTTTGACAGTTTAATAAAAGTAAGCATTATTAAGTCTATAGTCCATCTACTGAAAGAATATGTATGCATGTATCATTTTGATTCAGAAGTAAAATGTTATCTGTCAACATATATTATTCGTCTAATTGACTATAATTTTAATTTACTAATCTTTCTTTCGATTCCCCTTGATAAGTAGGCTCTATGAGTAATATAGTAGTTGATTCATAATTCAATATTTCATAACAATATGCTTGTACAGGGTGGGTCAACGATAGGGTAAAGTCATACCATGTACATGTGTTTTTTTTTAAATGTAACATCTTATTTTTTATTTTATTTTTAGATTCAGCGTAAAATTCTATAAATGTTTTTATTTATATTTAACAATTTTTTGTAAACTTCGAAACAAATGAGATAATGGACTTTACACTATCGTTGAATCACCCTGTATTGTATAAATTGACTTAGTTACTAATGTTACTGAAAAATATTTTAATCTATAAAAATTTAAATGTTGAATGTTAATATAAGTAATATATAATATAATATAAGATAAGATAATATAATATAAGATATTTTTTTTTAACAATGAAACATTAATGAAATGTAGTTTCTCAGAATCTCAGAAAAACCACAAATTTTGCAATTTTATGGGTAATTACTTGAGGCCAAATCAAAATGTAGTGTGCTTATCGTTGGCTTCATCTGTTTTTTTAGTTGACTGATAAAATATTTGGCTATTTGATAATAATTTTTATACTACACCTATGTTTACCTAAAATAATTTTGTGTTTTATCACCGCCCATAACATATAGATTAGTCTTTACGAGTAATATATTTTTTAATTTAATTTTACAGAAACATCTTGAGTAACTAGAGTATTGCAAATAATTAGTCAATTTGCCAGTCCCACTTTAAAAAACTCTACTTCATTTGTAATATACAGGGTTCGGCAATAGTGCGTCGGGCATCTGTAGCTACTAAAATAAAAAACTTGAGAATTTTGTTTATGAGCAAACCTAAAGTATCTACGAGAATGTATTTCAGGAAAATATTTTAACTTCCATATGGTGGCTCAAAAAGTGAGTGGATTGGGATGATTTTTTTTTTAAATAAAACACCCTGTATATTATTGCATTTTTGACTTCCTTTCAGATAACTTTACATAATTCTAAGATATGAGTAAATATATTTCGATAATCTCCGAGATATTAATAAATAAATAAAAAATATATATTTTTCAACCTTCCTTAAAAAATTATTACAAATACAAGAACTGTCCTCAAAACTATATTAGGTATTTGTACATTGTAAATCGTACAGGGTGTTCAAAATTCTACGCCAAACTTTCTGAAACATAAAATAATTTTACCTTGTTTTTTAAACGGAACACCCTATATATTATTTTTTATTAGAAGGATAATTAAAAAATGAACATTTCTTGTATTTAAAGTATTTCAAATTTTTTAATGGTTTTGTAGATACACACAGTATTATTTCTATTCTGAGTGGCTTTGATAAAAATTTACTGTGGAAAATGCCATATATCCAATAGAAAACCGCGAATATCTGCGAAACCTTTAAAAATTTGAAATACCCTAAATACAAAAAATGTTAATTTTTTAAATCTCCATCTATCGAAAAATATACAAGGTGTTTAGGTTGTAGAAAAAAAATATATTTTAGAAAGTTTACTGTAGCATTTTGAACGTCCTGTATGATTTACAATTACCATATACATATACCTAATATAGCAAAGTAAGTACAGGCCATCTAAAATAAATGAGCTTTGATTTCAGAACAGTTCTTGTATTTTTAATAGTTTTTTTAAGAAAGGCTGAAAAATACACACACCGGAAAAATCTAGGGATATCATTTTATTAAAGTTAAAAATAAATAAAACCACATATTTGTAGGCCGATTCTTTCTACTTCGATTGAAACGAAGTAGTCACACTAGTTATTTCTAAATTTGGGATATTTGCAGAAGTGTTTGTGCATTTTTTGTCAAATGTATAAAAAGCACCTAGCATCAATTGTTCGAATTTAACCTGTACTGGCTATGTTTTTATGATAACTGGCCAAAATTCATTCAAATAACTCTGTTTAGTATTAAACGACATTATGGAGTGTAGACATCTTAACAGAGACGAAATGCTAAGGGCCATGGGTATGCTCGACGCTGGAATGCGCCAAATCGACGTAGCTAGAGCATTAAATACAACGCAAAGTGTAATATCGCGATTAAGTGCACGCTACCGTGAAAGTGGTGATGTTGCTGAAAGGCACACAGGGCGACATCGCATTACTACCCCTCAGCAAGATAATTTCTTACAATTAAATGCTCGACGCCGACCGACTCTTACAGCACCAGAGCTTAGTTTAGTTCTCCAGGAAACACATAATGTAACCGTTAGTCCTGACACTGTTCGCTATAGATTAAGAGAGGTCAACTTAAGAAGCAGACGCCCTTGGAGAGCTCAACCCTTAACGAGAGGAAATCGAGAGGTACGGTATTTGTGGGCTCAAGATCATGTTCAGTGGCCGAATGAACAATGGGACAATGATCTCTTCACGGATGAGTCACGCTTTGGAATTCATCCGGATTCGAGAAGGCTTAGGGTACGGAGAGAACCGGGAAATTTTATTCGGTTGGATCATGTTCGGGAAGTGCACCTTTATCAAGGTGGAACAGTTATGGTCTGGGGAGGAGTCCAGTTAGGCCGAAAAACCGATCTCGTTTTTCTTGAAAGGTTTCTAACAGGAATCACATATTGTGCTTTAATTCTTGAGCCTGTCGTGTTACCATATGCCAATGATTTTGGGAGAAACTTCATTCTCATGCATGACAATGCACGGCCTCATACAGCCAGAGTGGTAAGTGAGTTTATCAATGCTCATCAATTAAACATCTTACCCTGGCCGGCACAATCTCCTGACCTCAACCCCATCGAGCACGTATGGGACGCGGTCCAAAGAAGAATTTTGAGAATGGGTATGCCTCGTGAAACTCGTAGGGATCTGGTTCGGGCCGTGAATGCAGCGTGGCAGGCTGTACCTCAAGAAGAGATCGACAACCTAATCAGGAGCATAGAGGGACGATGTAGGGCTGTAATTAACAGTAGAGGAGGCTATACCCTTTATTAAGTAAAAATGGTTTTATCTTTTTTTTTAATTCACAGTTTAGAATAAAAAAAAAATGTGTATATTTTTTTGAGTTCAATAAAAATCAAGGTAAATATGAAAAATTCGGTAAATTTCGCATTTTTATTTCCAATACGTCCTGTAAACTATTTGTTTATTTTAATTTTATTATATCAGAAATGCAAATAATAAAATTACTGATGATGGCTGGATAAAATTGTAATATCCCTAGACTTTTCCGGTGTGTGTATATATTTTTACTTATTTTTTAATATCTCCGCAACTATCGAAACATAGTTACTCATATCTTAGAATTATGTAAAGTGATGAAAGGAAGCCAAAAATGCAATAATATACAGAGTGTTCCATTTAAAAAAAATCATCCCGATCAACTCACACTTTTTTGAGCCACCCTATAGGAGTTAAAATATTTTTTTTGGATACATCCTAGTACATATTTTAGGTTTGCACTTAAACAAAATTCACAAGTTTATTATTCCAGGAGCGAGATGCGAGACCCTGTATATTGACACGGGGTCCTCTAAATCCATAGTCTGGATTTTATCGCATAGGACAGTGATGGAGATGTACTAATGGGAAAAACAAACATGTTAAAAAGCAAAAAAAAAAAAATGGGATGCTGACATTTTTTTCTATGCAGTATTGTAAGATTTTGCAACAAGAAATCCACACAATTAGGCATTTCGAATAGCCTTGCAGCTAGGTTATTTTACTACAGTTGTAATATATCAATATTACAATTTCAATTGGCATGCCTGCTTAAATAAATTTTATTTTTACCCTGCTCATCTTTAACCATGCATACCTCACGTGCAGATACTGCACGTTCGCATACTGCACGTTACTATGTGCGGTAGCCTTGCATCTTGTCGTGGATCTGTCTATAAACTGGTTATAATTAAAGTTGGCTCCCTTTATCTTTGTTTTGTACGTTATAACTGACATGTTTTATGCATTTTTAACTATATTAGAAAAAAATTGTTTTTTGTAGTTGCTGAAAAAGAGGACTTCTACTGAAGTAGGTTCTAACGAGAGCCACAGATTAGAGGTACTTGAGAAAGGCGAGAATCTGGATAAAGGCATCGAGTTGATTAACCTGAGCAAGAAGTACGGAAAAAAGACCGTTGTTAACAATTTGTCTCTGGACATTTATAAAAATCAAATAACGGTACTGTTAGGCCATAATGGTGCGGGTAAATCAACAACGATGGGAATGATAACAGGTAACGAATAACGAACTTTCATGCAACATGTATTTGTATTTATTTACCAACATTTCTGCCTTATCTATATTTCCGTTTTAATATATTCCTAATCAGTTTAACCTCTTTGTTGTTTGGTTCAGTTTCACTTATCTGTTTATGTTTGTTCATATGTATTTATATACTGTGGACCATGTTTATTTATATACTGTGTGACGCTGTCATCTGCCCGCGCATTATTTTAAACTCTTAAATATTAATATCGTATAATATATTATTTTCTTATTGATAATGGCATTATTTCAACCTGTTATTTTAGATATTCATCATATCTATCTGTTTATTGTTTTTGTTTAATTATTTTTTTAAAGGTGCGAATAGTCAGACGCTAAATTGATTTACGTGATAGATAGAAACTTAGAAAACTATTCTATTGGTTGTTCATGTTCTTTAAAATCAAGGAAGCGATTGCCATACATTACTAAAAAGTGAAAATCTCCCTTTCTTAAATACTCTTCATGTTCTTTAATTCGAATATTTAAGGGTCTAGATGTTTCACCAATGTAAAATTTATCGTAAGATTTGTCAGCATTCATGGGACACAGGGCACAGAATAAATTTTAATAACGCCAAAATTATAATGAAAGAAGCGATAGCCTCCAAAAGAAAAATAAAAGAGGCGTTTTTAATTCAATCTAATAAAAATAAATGTATTGCTCATGCATCTGTAGATGCTAGTAATGTATGGCAATCGCTTCTTTGATTTTAAAGAACATATCATAAATAAATATAACATACGTAAAAATTAAAAATAATCATGCCAGTACATATTTTATTATATTATACAGAAAGTTTAAGGTTTTTTGGTTTTACCTTGTTAAGTAATGTTATCAGGTAGTAATTGTTAATTTTGAAATTTAACTTGATATAATGTCATTTTAAAAAACTAAAGTGTTCTCGAATAGTTGAATTTAAATATTTTAAATAGTTTTTTCTTTATTCTATGTATTTTTTTGGTTTCCGACGACGAAAAGAGATAAACTTTCCGAAACGTTAAACATTTTTTTGTTCGTTAGGCAAATTTGTATATCTGTAAACCCAACTTCTGACAAATTTTCTTGCAGTGGCGAAATACCCATATATGATTTTTTTGGTGAGCTCTTATTTAACAGGGTGATCTAACTTTTTAATTGTTTAAGGAATTGAAGAAATGGAAAAAATGTTTTAAACACATTGAATTGAATAACAGTGTCAAAAAGGAAATGAAAAAATATTTACATAAAATGAAAATAATATTAATGGTACAATATTCAAACAAAATTTTAATGTTAAAATATTATATTCTCTAGACTTTAAACTCCTGCTTTTACAAATCGGACCACCCTGTATAATAAGCACTGCAAAAACCACTCTTCTCGGAAATCTCGGAGTCCAACCCACAATGTTATGGTTCTAAAAACGACCACAAATGATTAACTATCTTTATCGGCCAATTTGTTAGTCAACTATGGTTTTGTAATAATATTTTCTTTATAAAATATCTTCTGTTATTAATACAAGCGATATTATTACTTGTTTTTTGGTAAAAATAACTGATTTTCTTTGATATCATCTGGGTATTTACCTAGAGTTCCCGCGTTTAAAGCTTGATTTTCATGCATCCGTTATACGTTGATACGATGGTCCGACGACGGTGCTCTGATTGGTCATAGCGTTTTCGCGCCACTTTTCATCCGTAAATATTTTACTTTAGCCCATCAACGGACTCGTTCATACGATAACGGACGTTTTGACACTTTTTTGACAAATTTAATCTAACCTTAATAAAAATATAAGTAAAATAGCAAAATCGTTATGGAAACGAAAATATAAAATGATACCAACGTATATCCGATAAACGGAGGCATGAAAATGCAATAAATTTAAAAACTGCGTTATTTTCTAACCAATCAAAGTCTTTAAATTCTACCAATAAAATTAATATCGTATCAACGTATCGTCGGACAACGGATGCATGAAAATCAAGCTTAAGGCCGTGACCCAACATAGCTGGACGCGTAGAGCGTAGCGTAGCGTACTGCGGAAAGGAGTTCGTACAGTGTGAGAAGATACGTGCCAATCCGCAATACGCTACGCTGTATTTGGGACCACTTCGGTTTACTTTAATGAAAACTTTAATTAAAACGCTTCGCGGTCCCCTTCCCTCTGCGCTCCACTACGCTGTACGCCTCATGTGGGGCCACGCACTAAAGATGAACCCATCGCCTTATGACGTGAGCATCAACTTAGATGTTTTTATTCTAGCTATAAATACTGTGCAATTATTTCGGACAGCACGGCAGCACTGCTTACCACTGCAGAGGCGTTCTCCAGTAAACCAAACTGTGGTAAAACATTCATGACGCGTCTGGGCTCATCTTCAGATGCGGCTACTCTACTTCTGTTTTTAAGATTCATTCTCTCATTAAAAAAAACTTATTTCTATTGATGATTGTATTGTGTCCTATGACAAAAATATTTTTTTTGTAAACGTTCAAATAGTAGACTAAATTTTGATTTACATTTTTTATTATGCTTGTTATGACGACATGCGACAGTAACATCATAAAATAACTGATTTGCTGATTTATATTTAATAATATTGTTACTATTTTTTATAAGGTTCTCTTAGTGTCTGTATCCGTTTTTAGTTTTAAAAAGAGAAAAGCTAAAAACAAAATGTGATAAATGAATCAAAGTGAGTCAGTTAGTCGTGTTCCGTTAAAATAGCTAAATACAGAGTACAATTTCTTTTTTTGTAAATTGGTATTTTGAAGGTTTTTGGCACACATTTGTATATTAATAGAAAGTTTAAATACAAATAAAATTTAATTTGTGTCTATAGAATAGAGGCCAACTATTAAATCAGTTAATACAGTTGAAATTGGCGATGCTAATGAGTACTAAGAAATGTGGTAAACTAAAGCATACTTTACAGAATATATAGGGTGATTCACACCATAGACGTTCATGGAGAACCGGTGAATAGCGGAACAGAAAAATGTTGAGATATGGAAGTAGTTTGGAAAAATATAATAATATACCGGGTGTTCCATTTAAAATACCAAAGATGCTTCCACTTTTAGTATGAAGCGGCAACACTAATGCTGAAAATAATTTAGACAGATGGAGCAGAATATGCCTTTATGCAAAAATTCAAATTTTAATAAAATCCTATCACTATTTTTTCATAAACGTCTAACGTGCCATGGCCGTGAATCACTCTGTATAATCTGTAATAAAATATATTTAGAGACATGTTTTATGACAATTAGTATGAAATGACTGTTAATAAAAATCGACAGATTTTTAAACACGATAAAGACAAATTGAACAAAAAATAGGCATAATTTCTATCTAAATAGTTTTTATATGACTTATGAATTGATTTCTTATTACAATATACATGGTGTTTCAAAAAACATGTACCATCTTTCGCGGAGAAATAAAAATAAGACTTATTTTTATATCAACATATACAGGGTGTCTATCAATATTCCGTGGATATAGAACTGCTGCGTATTTTTCGAATCAAAATAAGTTAGTTGGACACAATTTACCTCTATACAAAAGTGCTTCGTTTGTCTGTTAGACGGTATCAAAAAAAACACATTACATACAGGTATTTTAAGAACCGATATTCTGATTCGTGGATTCCCGGCCTGTCTAACAATTAATCCTGTGAGAAAGAGATATGAGATCGCGCCGTTAGTTGCAGAGACGAAGATAAAAGATGCTGGGGTTGAATTGTGGACGGGCCGGGGTATATATTCGGAGACAAACACAATCTACTGCTAGTGCCAGTGGTGTGTGTAAAAATAATAATTATTATTTGCCATTTATTTTACGAATTTTATTTTATATGTGTATAGTTTTTTTATGTTGTAGTGTTGTGGTTAGTACTTGTTATAATTATAATATAATAAATAATTATAATTATATAATAGAATAGCAAATATTTATAGTTGCTAATGCCATTTTAGGACATGATTTATGAAACATTTTGGGGTAAAAATTCTTTACGCACGCTGGGAGTAAAAATTCAAAGCCGTGACATACGACCTCGTAACGAAACGTGTTAACGGCTTAGAAATACGTAGTGGCGCGACGTGTAATTGTGAGTAGTCAACGTGTTTATCAAAAATATTGATATTTTAATACAAATTTTGTACACGTGAATCAAATTATTACGTGTAAAAAAACATTTGATACACGTAAAAAACTATTTTTACTCGTATAAAACTATTTGTTACTGGTTACTGGTAGAAAACTATTTTTTACGCATATAGATCTATTTGTTACGTGTAAAAATCTATTTGTTACACGTAAAATAGGTACTATTTTTTTACGCGTCAAAAACTTATTGTTTCTGTTAGAAAACCTTTCTTACGCAAAAAAAATATTTTTACGTGTAAAAAACTATATGTTACACGTAAAAAACTAAAATTTACGCGTCAAAAACTTATTGTTTCTGGTAAAAAAAGTTTTTACCCAACAAAAATATTTTTTACGTGTAAAAAACTATTTGTTACACGTAAAAAATTATTTTTTTACGCGTCAAAAGCTTATTGTTTATGGTAAACACCCTTTTGTTACGTAAAAAAAATTACGTGTAAAAAACTAATTGTTACACTTAAAAAACTAATTTTTACGCGTCAAAAACTTATTGTTTCTAGTAAAAGACTCTTTTATCCAAAAAAAAAAATTACGTGTAAAAAAACTATTGGTTACATGTAAAAACCATTTTTTACGCGTCAAAAACTTATTGTTTCTAGTAAAAGACTTTTACCCAAAAAAAAAATTACGTGTAAAAAAACCATTGGTTACATGTAAAAACTATTTTTTACGCGTCAAAAAGTATTTGTTTCTGTTAAAAAAAACCTTATTTACGCTGAAAAAAACACTTTTTACGCATAAAAAACTATTTTTACGCGTGAGAAAATATTCCTTTAATTTATTACTTTTTCAATATTTCAAACTACACTTTTTCAAACATTTCCTTCAAATTTTTGAATTTAATAGAATTTTCCTAAACAGTAGATGTTCTTTATAAAATATTTTCAGATAATACTCTAAAATGAAAAAAAAATGCATACTATTTAATTTATTTTTATTGTATTATTAAATATAACGTCCGCCTATGACGGGGTCTCATCTTAGAAGACGCTACAGAAAACAAAATTTGTTTTCATTTGCGTTTTTTGCGAGACATGCCGAACGCTACACGCTTTTGGTGCGGCCCCCTTATATAATCCTGTTATTTTGTTTTAGTCGCTAAAGACGCTTCACGCTAAAAACGCAAAAAACGCTTTCTGTGTGGCCGTTGGCTAACACTTAAAAACGCAAAAAAACGCCTCATAGTTTTTGTGAAAAAAATTGGATAAACAAAATATACAGTAAGTTTCAATATTCCGTGAAAATAGAAACTACGTATTTTTTGAATCAAAATAAGTTAATTGACTATGATTAATTTTTTTAGTTAATTAATTTAAAGTTTATAAAACTTATTGTCAAATATTATTTGTAATACTAACATAAAATTCCATATTTTTGCCAACTAGATTTTTATCGCATAATAAATTTTATGTACCTACATAGTTTGATGTGACAAAAAACATTTTTTGGTCAAGTCATATTCGCAAATATAGAATATACTAGCGTGTACCAGCGACTTCGTTTGCGTCGATTAATCATTTGTAATGGTGATGATAAAGCAAAGCAAGAATTTCCATTAACATACAAACTGGATAAAATTTTCTCACATTTATGACAGCATGAGAAAAAACAATATGGCGATATTATTATATAACTTGGTAATATTGGAGGGGTAGTTTCATCTCGTTGGAATTTTACTTTCGAAAAATCCGTTTGCCAAAAATAAGCTTTTTACGTCAAGCAGTTTAAGCAGAATCGTGGTTAAGAAATTACCCAACTTTTTGGAACACCCTGTATGATTTTTTTAAAAATTTCAAAATATGTAAAAAACCAAATAAATTATGCTTGTCCAAGCGTTTTCCCGAAAGACTAACCGTTTTTTAAATAACAAATATTGTAATATTTGAGGGGCTTTTTCACCCTCTTGGAATTTGAGATTCGAGAAACCCCTCCTTATCGAACCTCTACACCCCACAGTAAATCCGTTTACCAAAAATCAGCTTTAAACGTCAAGCAGTTTAAGCAGAATCGTGATTACTCAATGGTCATATTTTATGAAACACCCTGTATAAATTTATAAAAAATCTTAAAATACGTAAAACAACAAAATAGAATATACGTGTTTAAGAGTTTTTCCGAAAAACTCACCGGTTTTTAAATAAAAAATATTTTAATATTTGAGGGATAGTTTCACCCCCTTAGAATTCGAGTTTCGAAAAATCCCTTCTTATCGAATCTCTACACCCTAAAGTAAATCTGTTTTCCAAAAATCAGCTTTTTACGTCAAGCGCTTTAAGCAGGATCGTGATTAATCAATGACCAGATTTTTCGAAACACCCTGTATACATTTTTAAAAAATCTTAAAATATGTAAAAAAACAAAATAAAAATATACGTGTTTAAGCGTTTTTCGGAAACTTGAACGTTTTTTAAATAAAAAATATTGTAATATTTGAGGGGTGGTTTCACCCTCTTGGAACTGGGATTTCGAAAAATCCCTTCTTATCGAACCTCTACACCCTAGAATCAACCTGTATGCCAAAATTGAGCTTCTTACGTTGAGTGGTTTGAGCAGGATCGTGATTAATCAGTATGTCAGTCACTTAAGGATTTTATATATTAGTATAGATTACAAGGAATCGTCCCACGAGTGATGGCACATGTTTTTTGAAACACTCTGTATATTTTATTGATAACTAAATAATAAAAAAATATAAACAAGCTCCCCTTATAGAAGATAAAAAAAAACAATATAAATTATGTTGGTTTGGTAAACTTAATTTGGATTTTTATTTATTCATTTTATAAAACAATATTTTTTTTCTTTTCTGTTTAGGAATGATAAGCAAAAATAGCGGCAAAATTATAATAAATGGGAAGGAAGTCCGTTCAAGGTCGGATATTACAAAAAAGATTGGATTATGCACGCAACACAATTTGTTTTTCCCAGATCTGACAGTCGGAGAACATCTGAAATTTTTCGCTATGGTAATTATATAAACATTTTCATTTAAAAAAAATTGTTTAACATTTCTTGTTATTTATAGACCTATAAAATCCTTGATTTGTCAAATAATTTATAAAAGACTATTGACTATTGATAATGCTTGAATGAATTGTTTATTTGTCGCTATAATAAAATAAATAATTAAATAATAAAAAAAATAAAAATGTAAAACGTGGGTATTAAGACTTTGAATACTTTAGAGTTGCCAAGTTTTAAATCCATATTAATACTAGTCAGAATTCTCCAAATGAGCTAGGTAATATGATTTTAAATATTTATGACGGTATTTTTTTTTCAAAATGATATGATATGTAATAATAAGTGTAATCAAAATAATCAAGATTATATATTTAAATAAAATTAAAACCTACAAAGAAATATAATGCATACACCAAATAATCTGATAATAATTCGATAATTCGGTACATTCGATGCAGTGGCTAATCAGATTAGGGTAAACGTGCAGTGCTAATCAGATTAGGATAGGCAAAAATTTGCATAATAATATGTAATATACAAATAGTATAAGTAATTATTATTATAATCTTTTTTTTTCTTCAGATTTGGCATCGCTGCGCGGAATAGCGGTCAATAATTCTATTAACTTTGTTAATTTTTATTAGAAATATTTTGTTTCACAATTTTAATAACTAATAATATTTATTAATGCAACGTAAACACTACCTTCTATTTTAAATAAAATTAGAACGCTACTCATATATCGGAATTAAGTCAGTCAATAATAAATTAGGACCATTAATTTTGTTGATATGCTATATAATGTTTTTAGTCAATAGTTTGATTATACCAGAATATTTTCTTTCTGGCGGTGATGGGCAATCACCCGGTTTGTTGAAATTTAGGTAAATGCCTGATATTTAGCATTGGGTATATACCCAATGGGTAAATACAACATATTACATTGAATTTGGGTTTATACCCAAGTATGCATACCCGGTATATACCCAATTATGTTTATTTTGTTGATTTAACGTAATATAACAAATTTTAACAACAATTTGTTGTTATCTTACTTATCTTACCCCACACAGACTGCACAATAGCCTCAATTGTATCGAAAATACAGCACAACGCCGACAGTTATTCGGGTTTAGAATTTTTAGTAATTAAATTTTAGTTAATAATAATTTAGGTTAGGTAAATAATCGAATTTTAGGGAGTTTCCCGACGAAATATTCTCAATGGGTATATACCCTACACCTTCTTGGTATATACCCAAATTTATTTATTATACCCATTGGGTATTTATCCATCGCCCATCACTGCTTTCTGATGATGATGTGATTTTAATTAAAAATTCAAGTCATTTTTTGGATGTTGCCAGACTATCTTAATATGTTAAAATTATAACAAATATTTTTGTGCAGTTAAAGGGTAAAACGTGCCAGGAAGCTGACAAGGAAGTAAAAGAAAAACTGGAGAAATTATCTTTGACCAATAAAGAGAATAGTTTGGCCGATAAATTATCAGGTGGTATGAAAAGAAAGCTTTGTCTTGGAATGGCCGTTATTGGGGGATCAGAGGTAAATTTTAAATAATAATGTTGTATCACTATTAAAAAGAAACCGTTGCTACTTAGATCTTAATTCTGGACGAACCTTCTTCTGGTATGGATCCCGAATCGCGTAGGTATCTCTGGGATTTGCTGCTGGATATGGCATCCGAAAAGACCATTTTGATCACTACGCATTTTATGGACGAGGCCGACGCTTTGGGCAACTGGATCGCCATAATGGAAGAAGGACGCCTTCGTTGTTTCGGCACACCCATGGTTCTGAAAAAGAGATACGGTATAAGCCTATTTGTTTTATTGAATGAAAAAGCTGTCACAGTAGGCTTAGAAATAATATTTCAGTTCTCAACAGTGAAATGGCAGCTAAATTCTATAATACACACATTTCCTTGTATTTAAAAAAAGTTAATACAACTAAAAAAGATTCAAATTCAAGTAAATAGATAGCATCGCTATTGAAGACACAAGATACTTAAAGCTATACAGAAGCGACAGTAAGAGCTCAAAACGCAAGAAGCGGTTTATGGGCGTGGGTGCGCAGCCAGCGCCGGCTCCTTTATGGGCTTTCAATGGTACAACACACGGTATCTAGTCAACGTCGAACGCCGCACAGTGATAGAAAACGCAAATCTAGAATTCCAAAAGTCCAATTTTTGGTTGTAAGGTAATAACTAATTAATCACCGTTTTATCTTTAGAAATATTCAGGAATCACAAAAAGTTGAAATTTGAATTTATATCTCTGTAAACAGTTTTTTTACGGAGTTCCAAAAATGGTATATTTAATTAGTAGGCATAGAAACATTATTTGTCGTTATTTACGCGAACTGAAAAGAGCTATCAGAGGTGTGTTGGGCAAATTGAGTTTACCAAAATTAAAATAGAATAATTTTCGTAAGAAAAAGAAAATAGAATAATTTTCGTAAGAAATAAAATATATTTTCTTACTAAGAGACTTTTGGAATTCTAGATTCGTATTTTCGATCACTGTGCGCCGATTATTTACAGTACGTCGCGTCGATCGGTTCTGTAACTACGGGGCGTCCGTAAAGGGGAAAACGAAATTCTCTGTTGTCTGAACGGGCAATTCATGGGCATGCTATGCTTTTAAAAATAATAAACACAGTACATACATAACGTAAACACAGTACGACAGTAATAAATTTAAAGATTATTAGATTATTTTATTCTATTAACCTGAAGGTTATTGAAAAAAGTCGATGATTTTATATTGCAAGGGTTGGTGGTTCTTTTTTTTAATTTTACCAAAGAATCCTGATTTTATAAACTATACCGTGTACGTCTCAAAAGTGGCTCACCCCTATAACTTTATTTTTTCAGTTAAAAAACGAGATTTGATATGTTAGTATATGGCATAAATGAGGATTGATTGACATATTCAATTGTTTTTGGCCATTTCCTATTTTACCGGAAATATCTACAACTTTTGATTTTTAAATGGCACTATCGGCATTTTTTTACTTTATTCAATAAAAAATGTCACTGAATAGAATGATATATCATATGTCAACTTTTGGCATTTTTGCTTAAAAAATTGTATTTTAAATAATTTGGTACCATACACTTGGTATTTCGAATCAAATTGTCGTTAAGAACCGCATGTTACAATTTTAAATAAACGATATGAGGAAATGTCAAAAATTAACATATGATATGTCATTCTATTTAGAGTGTCATTTTCTATCGAGTTAAGTAAAAAAAAATACCGAGAGTGTCATTTAAAAATCAAAAGTTGTAGTCATTTCCGGTGAAATAGGAAGTGACAAAAAACAATTGAATACGTCAGTCAATCCTAATTTATGTTATATACTAACGACAGACGACATCCAAAAAAAAAACGATATGCCTGTGAATTATAATGACATAACTGTCACTGTTGCATCCTTCCTTTGGATAGGCCATCTATTTCAACTAATATAAAAATTCATAGTTAGGCTTTCATGACACTATTATCCATTTGTTAAATAATAATTAACAATTAGATTGTTATTAATTTATTTCTCGTATTACTCAAATATTTGTTACAATATACAAAACTAATTTTCTACGTCTGGACATGTAAATAATGTACAAAATTAGTTGGTGTAGAAAATTAATTTTCTATGTGCAGAAAACACGGTAGAATATATAAAATTTTCTTTCTACCCAACCCTGTGTTCAGGAAGTAAAAACGGTTTACCAATGATCTTAAAACTAAACAAAATATATTATTTTTTTAACCTTTCGAGAGCTATAACTTCTTCGTGAAGCATTTTAGGGCCTATGTTCATAAAAACTTTTTATTCTATTTTTGTCTGCAGAATCATCCGCTGAAGTGAAATAAAATATTTTTTTGACACCCTGTATAGTTTCAATTTCAAACAGCGTTGTCAAAGGACCTTTACTGGTCTAATAAGTAGATTTTTTGCTTTTCATAAAATATCTGCACGTAATAAACATTTTTTATATCTTGTTTAAACGGTTTTTTAAATGTCCATTCCTGATAATAACTATCAACTTTACAACCTGCTGTGACTTTCTTTTTTGGATCATACAGTATACAGGACCGGTACTCAACGATATATATATTTAGGCACAGGATATAACTTGAGACTTCTTATCAAACAAGACAAAATCATGAAAGCAAATGGAATTATAGAACTTGAAATGAAAGGAAAGGAAAGCAATGAAATTGAAATGAAAAAAAGTGAAAAGAAAAAAATTATAATGGAACAAATCGTTACATATTTAGAAAATGTCATCAAAAGTAATCTCATGCCCAACGAAACGGAACATTTCAAATGTAAAAGTATTGACGGAGAAGAAGTGTCATTTTTGCTACCGTTTACCAATAATTACATCAAACTATTTGAGTATCTCGAAGATCGCAAAGAACAACTTGAAATAGAATCTATGTCCATTACAGTTACAACCCTAGAAGATGTTTTCCTAAAGTACGTATTTTTTATATTTTATTTTATATTTAATAACTTATTGTTTTGTAGCTCAAATAAAGTAGAGAAACATGAGAAGTCAGATGTTCCATCTATAGATATATTTAAACATAATAAATGTAAGTAACGTTGATACCCTTATGTTGGGTTCATTATTGTAATTTTCGTATAATGTAGCCGTTGTAATAGCGTCCAAATTTACAAGGTTTAGGTAAAAAAATACCTAGATAAATGATTTATTTATTTTAATTTAATAATTAATTTTTATTTATTGTTTTTTAACAGCTTTATTTTAAGACTTGTTTTAATGTTGATATTCCCCTAAGTAGTTTGAAATGTTGAAAAAGTAATAAATTAAAAATTAATAAATAACTTGATTCACTTTCACAAAATAATTTGTATTAAAATGACCGTCTGTTCGTCTGTCCGTCTGTGGACTCCATTCGAGTACCTCTATCCATGTGCCGAGTTTGGTTCCAATCGACCCATAATTAAGAAAAATCTTAATGATGATTTCGTCCATTTAGAGGCATTGGTTTGAAACGTCGAGGGCGTCATCCTGTAGCCCGTCCCCAATTATGCCGAAATCGACTTACATTTTTCTTCAATATCAAATCCTTAGTTCCATCCCGATGAAGATGTAAACGAGACGTCGTATCCCACTTTGCAGTGTGGGACCGTGTGCACCGTCGCTCACATAGCCTACCCACCAAATTTGGTCGCGATTGGACATCAACTTTTGACGTTCCTTACGTCAAAACTAAATGTCACACTGACACGTGTCGTACACGGTCAAGTTAGCCTTGGTCCAATCTATCGACATGCCAAATTTCATTTAAATCGGACGATTTTTTCGCCATTGATTCTTTGCTGAAATTGCATGCTCCAGCAGAGCCAAACTTATTTGCAAAAGTAACTTGTTTTTCGTTTTTTTTTGTAGTAATGCATTACACCTTTTATTTGGAGGTGGATCAGGTTCAGCTTGACTTCCAGAATATTATAAACAGTCGTCGTTTTATACTTATATTTGATATGGAATCATTATGTCTTACTGACAAGTGATAGAGACAATATTTAGCATTCCATAAAAAATACTAAATACGCATTGTACTTTCGGCAACATTATAACTTACTGCCCTTTTGTCCACAATGTCCACTCCACATTTCATTGGTTTATAAAATAAATTAATTTCAGATTACTATTTTCATCGTCCATTGAATGTGTGATGTAGGGATGACAAAAATTACAAACTTATTGATTATAGATCTTAGAGCTCTATTTCTTTTGTTAAATGAAAGCATATGACCCTTAATCCGTCTTTGGGACAAGGTTGCTATAAACAGTCACTTTCTATACCATCTTAGCACCAAAAGCCTTTTTTTTTCGATCTATTATTCAATCCACCTCAACAGAGTAGTTCAATGTGGTAGTAGATGAATTGTTCTCTAATTTTGGAGACGGACAGTCACTGTCGTCAGTGTTTTCATCTGAATATTCATCCTCCCCTTGCTTGGGCCCACTTTGATGATCTCTGTATCTCTGTTGCCATCAGAGGCATTATTCTCTTCATCGATTAGTAGTGTTGTCGGCAGTCGGTAAAGTTTATTTTACCGAATGTTACCTAGATGGAAATTACAAATATTTCACATTACGACGACGGTGGTCTATCAGGACAAAATATTTGAGTACTTCGTATTATACAAAATTTTTAAGCACTTAAGACAAACAGTAGGTGGTAAATAACTTGAAAGCTATCAAACATCTAAAATATCAGATATATATTTTTTGTTTTTTATAATTTAAAATAATATTTTGTTAGTATGAGAGATATTCCACATAATATTTATATATAAGGAGTTTACCTTGGTTGTATATTTAGATTTTTTTCTATATTTTTGGTTTGTCATATTTGATTAGTACTTTTAATTTATGCATTTTTTTTAGCTGAATATCCAAAAGTGTTACCTCTAGGGGCATTACTATTCAAGCGAGGTAAATTCATTATAAAAAAATGGTTTACTTATATCATTCCGGTAAGTAGACAATAAAATATATTTTTTTGTGTAACTGTCAAAAACATTAGACTGATTTGACAAATGACACTTTTCTATTTGGTTTCGTAAAACCAAGGTTTATTAAAAAAATGACCCAAAATATTGGGTTTTCGCTATATAATTCGAGATAAAAGTAATATAAAAAAATTAGATATGCAATATAATAAATAATTTAGTTTTTTTATCAGGAATAAACTACTGGACAAATTTTTTTTTTGTTAAAGTCTGACCAAATAGAGAATAAGTGACAGTTGACAGTGATAATTATTTATTTCACGCCTTTTACACAAAAATTATTATTTCAGAAATCGCAAACCCCTTTTTCATATTTTAGTTTATTATCGCCGTCATATTTTTGTGCCTCTGTATATGGTTGGGACAAGGATGGAATATAAACAGTACGAGCGGTGGACCTTCGTTAAAATTGAATCTCACTAGTTACGGACCGACTACCGTCTATTTCAATAGCAGTAACGAGCCGGACATTCTAAAAATGAAAAAATTCTATCGCCACTTGGTGGATGCAGAACAAAGTACATTTGTCGATACAAAGGACGTGTCTGAAGGTTAGCTTATGTTTATTTACGTTTATAGGCTTGGTGCATTTCAGTTGATTTCAACAAATTCCGACCGCAGCGCTTCAACGGTAAAAATCAGAAATAATTCCTACCTATTTCACGCCGCCGCGCCGTCATGTTGATCGCATTAAAATAATATTGAAATCGTAGTTTTGTCATAATTAGGGCGTTGTTGGGTGCAATAACATTCAGTCATTCAAGTTTCCCGGATATTCAACTCTCCAGAAACAACATTTTATAGCTTCATAGTTTCTAACACCGATTTGATCAAAAGCAAAAATGGATTCAAACAGTTCGACGAAACAAGTGAATAAACAAAGTGCTCGTTACATAATCAAAATATAAAAAAGACATATACTATGAGAGGATAAAATATAATTTGCAATATTAATGGTGTACTTTTTTTAATCAACTAGTGATTAAATGTTTTATGAACATCTTCTAAAATTATAATTATGTAAGTTAAAAAATTTCGTTATAGCCGAAATAGCCCCAATTATGCCCCAATAGCAAAACCGGTGAATAAAACTATGCTCGTTATCGTAGTTGAACTCATCTAAAAAGTTTTTTTAACTGGAATAATAAATTATAATACAAGTTAGACCTTCTGAAGATATCAAAATATTTACTTTTTTATTTTTATTTTTAGAATTTTCACAAATTATACCGTATGATCGAGAAAAAAACGGCGTCAGCGATGGCTATGAAATGAAGATCGCTGTCATTTTATATGTAAATTTATATGGGAAATGTCATCGATCGTCATTTCCCAGCCAACTGGGCGCCGTTTTTTTTCGATCATACGGTACTTTCTAACACTTTTAGAGTAATTAAATAAATAAATTTTTCGTATTCTCGCTAAATAGCAATTTTGGTTTAAATAAACCAAGTTATTTTTAAGCACGAGTTGTTTACGATATTCTCCTATGAACACCATGTGGCACCGACGGAGAATGCATCAAGCCTATACATTCTATTCTACACATATATTCTGACAACTTTGTATAATAATTTACATATTATACTAGCCATTGAATGAAAAAATGAGTAATGATGAGCGAGACTGGTCTTGGGCTTGGTCTTGCATAAAAAGCGAGACTGCGTTTTATCTGCAAGAGCAAGACTATCTATATCTTAAAGATATATATAATAAGGGTCGGCATTTTTGGTCTTGGGTGCCGGTTTTCATGTGTACGAAGAGTACGGTCAACACGCTTAGTAAAAATTCTGACAACTTTGTATAATAATTTACATATTATACTAGCCATTGAATGAAAAAATGAGTAATGATGAGCGAGACTGGTCTTGGTCTTTTCCCGTCATCCCTTCGTGGGACATAGGGCTTCTAAGAGATGTTTTCTGAGCTGTCTGTTTGATCTCTCCCCATGTTTTCCCGACCTCTTGGGCTTCAGAGGTTACTGTTCTTCTCCAGGTATTCCTTGGTCTTCCCCTGGCACGTCTTCCCTGTGGATTCCATTCAAGTGCCTGTCTAGCGATATCTCTGTGGGGTCTGCGCAAAATGTGCCCAATCCAGCCCCACTTTCTTTTCTTAATTTCGATATCTATTCGATTTTGTGATGTTCTTCTCCACAGTTCTTCGTTGTTAATTTGATTGGGCCCGAAAATTCTCAATATTCTTCGAAGACACTTGTTAACAAACACCTGTAGGCGATCCATGAGACCACGCGTAACCTTCCATGTTTCGCATCCATAAAGCAAAATAGATTTGACATTGCTATTGAAGAGCTGGACTTCAGTTTTTTTGCTATATATAGAGGAGTTCCACACAGGTGTAAGCATGGTCTTGGTATTGGTCTTGCATAAAAAGCGAAACTGCGTTTTATCTGCAAGAGCAAGACTATCTATATCCTAAAGATATATATAATAAGGGTCGCCATTTTTGGTCTTGGGTGCCGGTTTTCATGTGTACAAAGAATACGGTCAACACGCTTAGTACTGAATAAAGACAGAAGCATGGAATCTAGCGTCAGATTAAGTAGTTATGTAATAAATACTTCGTATTTTGCTCACTCTGACTTACTAGATTGTCATAACGACTCACTCCTATAGTACTATTCTTGTTAAAAGTTCCTCAATATGGCCGACCTAGTTACGAAAATTGGTAATTTTTTTTAATGAAAAATAAGTTGGCGTTAGCGAATTCAGAAATTGATTTACTCTTTGGTTAATAATATTTTTCAGGATTGTCAAGTTGACGTTAAAGTTAGGTTATTAGGTGGTTGTCATAGATAAAAACATATATTATTGAAATTATTTAATAAGAATAAAGGTATTTTACCGCAGATCCGAAGAGATTTTACTTAAAGGTATTTTATAAACTTTCTCAGTGAGAATATTAACTCCTGTGTTCTTATATTTCAGTTAAAGGGACGTAAGAACTATAGGAAGTAAATTTTTGTTTTCATGTTTTGACGATATCGGAGAGTTCCTAGAATTATCAAGATTATTGAATAATTATAGTTGTTTAATAAGTTAAATTAATAGAAGACTTGGAAATAGGATGATGCTTTTCATGTTATAGTTGATAGATCACCCCATTTCTCTTAATTTGTTTTTATTTCAATACAGTTAATCACAAATTGAATTGATGTGTGCAAAAACAGCTATATATTTTCAAACATCTTATTTAAATAGTTCTTTTATATACTGTTAAACTGTATCAACTACAAAGTATTTAGTAAAAATTATAAGGTAATAAATTTTGTAGATATAATTTATGAAAATTTATAATATATAAAGATTAGAACACAATCCTCTGAAGGAAAAAGAAATACTCAAAAACTCATTAAATATACTTTATTAAAAATAACAACATACAAAAACATCCATGCAAACTGTAATAATCAGAATATTATCCACATTATACCTTTATTAAATTTGTATCCACACTCCTGTCAGGAAAGCCAGATATGTTTGTTTAAATATTAACTTATTTTAAATTGCCAGAAACACATCAGAATATATCACAACCAGAACTATAGGTTAATCAGTACTAAATTTTATACCTAGTAAGTGATGCGTTAACTAACAAGTATAGGATAAAAAACAATTATTAATATAGACTGTACTATACAATGTCCTGCTTATTTATGAAATGACTTTCCCTTCAAATGTGAGGAATACCAGTAAAATAAAACATTTTTGGTTTGGTTTGGTGTTTGATATTCTAACTACATCTATTACAAACCTTAAGTGCTTTTAGTGAGTAACTGTATTTTTTATTATTCTTTGTGTATCCTGTAAAGTAAAAAAATATATATTTCAAGAAATGTAAAAACAATGCAATAGATATCAAACAGATTCATAAAAACTACTTACATTTATTGAACATAATTATATATTTCAAGTGTTATTTGATGTTTGGTCCCATTACCAACATTACCTTATTTAAGTCTTCTCTACTAACTCAACTTTTAAACCTGTTTTAAACCTTCTTTATATTTTAAAACTGATTTACAACAATCTGTAATGCCCCGCGTTTCCTGAAATATAAGTTTTAATCTATTTATTATCATATAGTACATATTACAAACCTGAAAATTACTGATACGAGGAAACTTCTCAAAATAATTAGAGACCTTTTTACAAACATCTGGACTAATTTATTTTCACGAATTTGTGAACGAGTCAATGTTTTCTAATACGTTTTTAAGCGTTTTACACATTTTGAATATCTTCCAGCCTATTCGTCAATTCTTGATCGGTGAAAACATTATTTATAACTATATAATTAGTACTGCAGGTTGCAGGTTAAATAAAAGAACAAAATCAAGTAGAATTTGTGAATAAAAACTCAAAAAGTAATGAAAATATTTAGAAAAAGGAACCGTGAACGTCAATGTCAGCCAAGTGTCAGAGTTCAATTGGATTTACCACAGATTATCAATTTGAACGATTTGAAGTACAGTCGATTCCAGTTTAGAGATTTTCGTTTTTTAAGCTTCCCATACTGAAGTCCGCCATATTTTTTAAATGAATACAAGTATATACAGTACATCTGCTGGATCTGTGTCTATGAAAGGAATGCGGACAAAAACATTTAAATAAACAGCAATATATTTTATACGTCGATTTGACGAGTGCGTCACCTCAAATCGCTCCGCCCACTCATTTTATAGGCTACTGGCAAATTTGTTGAATTTTTATTGATGGGACGCGTCGTCTGTTTTTTTACGAAAAACATCGAGAGAATATCGTTTCCCCTCTTACGGATACCACGTAGCTACAGAACGGACAGACGTACTGTACATGTAAACGCCGACCTAAAGGTTCGCTTGCCAGCGGGTATATATCCTAAAATGCTTCGCTTCGAGGATACGTGCTGTAGAAGTCAGTCATTTTGATTTAGAATTTTTCCAAAAATTTTCTGAACCAACTTCTTCTCTGAACCACTTTGGATGAAAATTGGTGTCTGATAATTTTTACATGAGAAATTCGATTTCGATGTTAGGAACCCCTTTTGTAGAAGACGCCACCTACATGTTTTTTAACTGCTTTGAAAAGTAATAACTTTTCGTCCGTGTCTGTATTAAACTACTGAGAGGAAAAATTAGGGTATATCGTTACTTGTTACTTCATTCGATAGAAAATGACACTCTGAATGGACCGACATATCATGTGTCAACTGCCAAACTAAATTTCTATCAATTGTCTTGTGCCTTGGCTGTGTTAAGCTTCATTCAGAACCTCGAAATCAGTGGAATAAATTAGTAGTTTCAATTAGCCGTAGAAGTTTGTTAACCTAATTTTAATGTAAGCATTCAGAACGTCATAATTAGTGGTAGCAATTTTCAATTATTGGAAAAAGTAACTTTTGATTTTTTCACTAATTATACTTCAAAATTTGCGAGGAATGTCATTTTGGCCTTTGACCTTTCATTATCACCCGTCAAGAAAAATTTTAGTTATAAATCAAAAGTTTATTGTTTTATAAGCTAAATATTATGCGTTCTCTATGGATACAACATACTACCGCAAGCTGTTACTAGGATATTTTTTTAATTTTAATTGTGTTTTTAGATGTTGTGAATGATCGTAAACGAAAGCTTCATTCGGAACCTCGAAATCAGTGAAATACATTAGTAGTTTCAATTACTCGTAGAGGTTTGTTCACCTAATTTTTATGTAAGCATTCAGAACGTCATAATCAGTGGTAGTGATTTTCAATTAGTGGAAAAAGTTAACAAACTTTTGACTTTTCCACTAATTATACTTCAAAATAAGCGAGGAATGTGTTTCGGCCTTTAACTATCACCCGTCAAGAAAAATTTTGGTTAGAAATCAAAAGTTTATTGTTTTATAAGCTAAATATTAGACTTTCTCTATGGATACAACAGACTACCGCAAGCTGTTGCTAGGATATTTTATTAATTTTAATTGTGTTTTTAGACATTGTGAATGATCGTAAACTAAAAAGTATAAAGTGTAATTGAAACCACTAAATTATTCCACTAATTGGGAGTTCTGAATGAAGCTTAAAAAGTATAAAGTGCAATTGAAATAACTAATTGGGAGGTTCTGAATGAAGCTTTAAAAACAATAATTTTTAATCAAGGAGCACTGGAAAAATAGATTTGATCGTCTATTGTTTTTCGTGTCTTGTCCTGGTTGGTTAAAAGACCAGAATTGTATTTTTAATCATATCTTAATTTTTTCCGGTGAAACAAGAGTGGCTCATTAGCATATTTGGGAAAATCATTTTTTTACAAATAATTTAGTACAAAACATTTGGTATTTCGAATCAAATTGTCGTTATGAATCGCATGTTACAATTTCAAATAAACCATATGCGAAAATGTCAAAAGTTGACATATGACATGGCATTCTATTCAGAGTGTCATTTTCTCTCGAATAAAGTAAAAACATACTGATGATGTCATTTAAAAATCGAAAGTTGTAGTCATTTCTGGTAAAACAGAAAGTGACCAAAAACAATTGAATACGTCAATCAATACTAATTTGTCATATACCAACATACCACATCTCGATTTTTCTAAAAAAAATATGATTAATTTAAAAATATAAATTGTATTGATTATTTCGATTCTATATATCTCGACAACGGTTATCCGTATCTACTTTTACCAAGAAATAGTTTTACGTTAAAAACGGCTTTATATATTTTTTTCTCCCAGCACCGTAATATAGGTACAGACGAAAAGTTATTACTCTTCAAAACGTTTAAGAACATGTAGATGGCGTTGAAGTAATATGTAACAATATGTAAAACTAAATTATCTATTTTATTTTTTTCAGCCATAATCACGGAGGGCATACAAAATTTACCATTCTACAGACTTCACATGGTCGCTGCCGCCGAGGTCAAACAAAACAATAAAGATATCGAAGCGGTGGCTTTATACAACAATTTGGCCAAGCATTCCGCCCCTATTTCACTGAACTTGATCACGAACACTCTGGCCAAATCCTTCCTAGGCGAAGACTACTCGATCTCTTTGACCAACCATCCGCTGGACAGTATCGGAGAGAACCGAAGGCAGAAGTTGTCCGAGGTGCAGATCGGACTGCTCTGGCTCGTAATCATGCCCATCGGTTTCCTGTTTCTCTTGGGCAGCTTCATATATTTCCCTTACACGGAACTGTCGACCAATTTCACACAGCTTCAATTTATGCGCGTAGCCCCTTGGGTCTATTGGATCACTTTGTACTCGAGTGATTACTTGATGTTTATGGTATTCGGAATACTTATCGCTTCGTTTACAATGGCATGGGAACCGTTCCAAGGATTTAGCCAATTTGGTAAGAATTCTACATTAGTAATGTTCTGCAAATTTTCAATTTTATATTCAGAGTAAAACATCAGGTAGTTAACAAGAATTAACAAGAATCTACATTAGGGTGGTCCTTAATACGGTTGTATCCGATTTTCTTTTCTCCCAGAGGCTCAAATGCTTCCAAATTCATAAAAAAGAATTGCCTGAAAATTTTAGCTCTTAATATTAACTTTAAGATAGTCCGCCTTCTAACGTGCAAACTAAGTGTTTGTGCAGTGTAATGTGCTACTAAGTTTCTCATAGAAATGAAATGGGAAAAATTTCATTTGTTCTTTAAAATTTCATAACTCTACGACAAATGAATCAAAAATAATTAATTCATGTTTGTTGTAAATTCAACGCTCTACAAAAAAGGTCTCTTAGGATTTTTCGTTAAGTCTATTGGCTTAAGAGTTATTCGAGCTCAAAGTTTAATTATTATATAAATGAGCATTCGGATTGCACAACGACCTTAGCGCGTGGCCGTGGGCAGCCAAGTAGGCAAGCGAGGCAACGACGCGTTGTTGCGCACCGATTGAACAAAATAAATAATTTTGAAACTGCCGTCATTTCGTTAATAATTATTGTTTCGTACTAATTTTTGCATAGAAATACTCATGAGTCTTTAGCGCTTCCGACAAGCGTAAATAACTGGATTATTTTTTATATTTTGAATTTTTTACATTACCCTAGCATATTATAACTTTGAGATAAAAATCTCTGTTATAAATTTCAAAACTGACTGATATGAATAGTATCATTTAATTAGGTATACATTTAGTTACAACATATTCAAAATTTAGATCGATCTGTTTATTCTAGCAGTAATAACAAGTATAAATAAAAAAAAACAAAAAAAAATCTGGAGTGTGTACTTTGAGTAAATTTTTGTGCCTTTTGTCCCTGGGAGCAAAGAAATTTGAATACATCCGTATTAAGGACCACCCTAATCAGCATAATCCATTAGATGGTATCTCAAACTGTACTTAAATGTGTTCCTATAAAGAGTGTTACTTATGGCCTTGTGATGACGTTACGTATAAGCCGTCAGGCTTATTTTTCTCTTATTAATAAAAAAAATAACGTAAAAAACTTTAAGCTTAAATTGTATTCAGACAGTTAAGGAATTAAACGGTTCATAAATTACGGTTTATACCTATACATATACAGTAGATACTATAGTCGTATCTACTAAAAAATAAAAATGTTCTTGAATAGTTATTTAGATATTTTAAATAGTTCTTTTTTTTGATCCTTGTGTTTTTTTAGGGAAATTTGTTTTATTAGTAAATACCGCTGAAAAGTTGGTTTCCGTTAGATCACTGCTGTTTAAAAAAACTATTTCTTTTTATTTTGTTGATTTTCCTCTAGCGGCGAAAAACCCAGAATTATTTTCAAGAAAGTTAGTGAATTTTTAGTACTAGTACTAGTTAAGTAAATTTTAGGTTTTTTGTAATATACAATGAAAATACATTATGAAAATTTATCTCAGTAGCAGTAATATCAATGAATAACTTAGCTATTATAGATATACAAAAGCGACGGCAAGCATCGCGTCGGCTCCTTTGAAGTATGCGTCTCAATTTTGTTGACCTTGAAGTTATATATTTTGGCAATTAGACTCACATGTACGTTGAGAAAAATTATTTCTTTAAATACGTGTTATTTTACTGTGATGTTGTATTTTTTAATTTAGTACATACAAATTCAGGCGAATATATAAGCGTTAAAAAGAGAGTTATTAGCTAGAGATAGGCTTTTAAAAGAAAAATGTAAAAAGAGGATTAGTTTCGCAACGTGCTGTCATGGAAATTATAGCTTAAAATATGACAAATAAACTCACTTAGAGCGCTTGCACACAGACACCGGCAAAATCGGTGCCGGTGCCGGCTTTGCACACGTTCCGACAGTTGCAGTGCATTCTATTGAATTTGCCAATTCACGATTATTTTACCGGATCGAAGTATACGCGAAGGAGCTAATTTATTTCTATTGCTACTGATATCAGTACCGGCACCGGCTCCGGCACCGATTTTGTATGTGAAAGCGCTCTAAAAAGTTGGTTTGCGAAAAATTACCTATAAAAGTAGACTCTCATATATCCCATTTCCTATGATACAATATTAATCTTGAATTTTAATTATTGAAGGCGCACAGCATACCTTCGATTAAACGTATCCGAAAATACTTTGACATTGATAACTGCCACGAGGAGTATTAGATTTATATTCTGATTGAGTAAGAAAAGAGTAAATTTATATTAGGTCATCATCCTTAAGTAATTGAAATATTTTTCTTTAGCTGATAAACCTATTTCTCGCAATAATTTATTAAGTGCCTTGTGTTTTCCTGTATTTCGAAAACTTAAAATTGTTGTGTTTCTCGTGAACCAATTTTTTTTCATTTCGAGCGCAAAATATATAAAAGTAATACCTTATACCGGATGTTTCTCAAAAAATATAAAAAAACGAGATTTGGTATGTTAGTATATGACTTAAATCCGGATTGATTGACGTATTCAATTACTTTCTGTCACTTCTTGTTTCACCGGAAATGACTAAAACTTTTGATTTTTAAATGGTACCCCGGTATTTTTTACTTTATCAGGAAAGAAAATGACATTCTAAATAGAATGACATATGATATGTAAACTTTTAACATATGCAATTAAAAAAAAATAGCATTTTCAATTTTAATCTAGAGTGCCATGGCTGTGTTAAAACCATTAATTTTTAATGAAAGAGCGTTAGAAAAATAAATTTGATCGTCTAATGTTTTTCGTGTCTTTTCCTGGTCGATTAAAAGATGCCCAAATCGTATTTTTAATCATAATTCAATTTTTTTCAAATGGAACGAGGGTACCCCATTGGTATATTTGGAAAATACATTTTTTAGGAATAATTTGGTACCACATACTCGGTCTTTCGAGTCAAATTGTCGAAATTTAAAATGAAAAATTTTTATAATTGAAAATGTCAAAAGTTGACATTTGATATGTCATTCTATTCAGAATGTAATTTTCTATCACATAAAGTAAAAAAATACCGGGGTTACCGTTTAAAAATCAAAAGTTGTAGTCATTTCCGGTGAAACAGGAAATGACCGAAAGTAATTGAATACGTCAATCAATTCCGAATTATGGCATATATGAAAATGCTAAATCTCATTTTTTTATCTGAAAAAATAAAAAAGTTATAGGGGTGGGCCACCTTTGAGAAACGCCCGATATAGAGGGTGTCCCAGGCTGAGCGTGCATTAGAAGCTTCTAGAGAACCACAATATCTAGATCGGAGATTTTTTATATAGAAGTAAATACCAGAAGTTGACAACAACTTTCTTATTTTAAATAGCCGCCCCTATTTTTTATTACATACTTAAATTCTCTGTAAAATTCTATGAATATTGATGTTAAACACTCTATATCTAACATTAACCGTTTTTGAGAAAAAAATATTTAAAATTTTTGGACGAAAAAAAATACCTGTCAAAAAAATTTGTATAGCCTAAAAGTCAAATTTAGTAATTGCTACAGCTACTGTGACATAAAGAGAATACATGTCAGTGGCGGCTCGTCAGCGGAAGCAAGGGAAGCATTGCTTCCTCTAAAATAATTCAGATAAAAGTAATACAATTATTTTTAATAAAAATAAAATATAAAATATACCAATTTTTACTTTTTTACTCTTCCATTACTTAATTTTTGGGGAATCCGAGTTATCATATCACTTTAACCTAAACGTACTTAGCCAAAACTGAACACGCCGATTTAGTTTTCATAAGTTTCTAGCCGAACGCGTGCCGAACGAGACGCCACGCGCCACGATCAAACGGCAGCAAATTTTACAATGACGCAATATGATTCCGTTCGACAACCATCCCAACCAAATATGTCTCACCTGTGTAATTTGCCTGAAATTTTGTCTAGTGTATTACGGGCTGGAAGCATCGGCAAAACTTGGTTCCTATGTGCTTTTTCGGACGTAACAAAACCTAACCTTTGTCTTTCGTGTTTTTACTGTTTTTCGGAATAGTAATAGCGAAGTTTTTAAAGAGTCATACAAATTATTTTGTTTAATAGTGACTATTCCCTCCACCAGCGTTTCCGTTGAATGAAGTTTTTCATGTTTAAATAGAATTAAAACCTATTTGCTACATAAAATCACTGAAGAAAGACTTAATAACTTGGCCACAATTTCAATTGAAAAAGAACTTTTAAAAGACTTACTCAAATTAATTAAATCCTTCTATGAAGATATAATCGACCGGTTTGCAAGTTTAAAATCCCGAAGAATCGACCTGTTATATAAGAAATAGAAAGTTTGTTTTGGTAAGTACATTTTTTAAATTACAAAATACCTTTGTATTCTGGATTATTTTATTACTGTAGGGCAGCAGAAAATAGTGCATCATACTAAGAACAAAAAATAGGATTAGACGCGTGATTAGTATACATTTTTTGTTACACCAGATCCGAGTCATTTCTTTTTTAAAATCATTCAAATTTTGTGCTGTTTGGTCCCTATTAAAATGTTTGAAAAGTTTTTTTGTCCTCTTAGATGCATAACGTTTTAGGATTTTTTTAATGAAAGTGACAGGGGGGGGGGGTTCTATTATTGCGTCCCTACTTTTTTTGCCACGAGCCGCCACTGATACTGTAGCTATTTATTTCAAAAATTAAATTGTTCAAATGTTCAATATGATAATGGCGGTAGCTGTCATGGAATTGAGCGATTAAAAAGTTATTATAAATCATTTTTTTCAAATGGAAATCCACTTTTTTATTTCACTAGTGAAAAGATTTTACTTTATTCGTTACTTTTTAACTATACATATTCCTATACCAAAAATAAATCGTTTTTAAGTTATTTAAAATTTAGTTTGAAAACGTATATTTTTCTTGATTTTATCTAGCTTCCTTTGACATTAAGTGTCAAAAAGTCTGACAGTTTATTTCCATTTGTCAGAAAACAAATTATTTGAATTTCCTATATTGTAAACACTGTTGCTTAAAAGTTTAAAAAGTGTTTTTATAAAAATTTTCGCTCCTTAGTGATATCTTATAGTTGATATTATTAATTATATTAATAATATACTGTATCAAACCTGAAAAAAAACGCAAAGTTGGCTTGCAAATGATGATGGATAACATATTGAGTTTTGAACTAAGTGTCACAATATGACATAGCCAGATCTATTGTTTTACATCACTTGACGTTTAAAGTCATAGGCTACTGGTTAAAATCAAGAAAAATATACGCTTTAAAATTAAATTTTAAATAACCTGAAAACGATTTATTTTAGGTATAGGGACATGTATAGTCAAAAAATAACGAATTGAAAAGCCTTTTCACTAGTGAAATAAAAAAAAGTGGGTTTCCATTTGAAAAAAATTCATTTATGATACTTTTTTAATCGCTCAATTCCATGACAGCTGCAGCCATTATTATATGACATTCAAACAATTTAATTTTTGAAATAGATAGGTGTATGTCTTCTCTTTATGGCACAGTGGCTGTGGTAATCACTAAATTTGACGTTTAGACTATACACATATTTTTGATAGGCAGTTTTTTTCGTCTAAAAATGTTAAATATTTTTTTTCTCAAAAACGGTTAATGTTAGGTATAGAGTGTTTGATATCAAAATTTATAAAATTTTACATACAATTTAAGTATGTAATAAAAAATGGGGACGCCCATTTAAAATAAGAAAGTTGTCGTCAACTTCCGGTATTTCCGGAAGTGCCGCTATATTGAAAATATTTTTAATCGACAGATCTCGTTGTGAAACAATGATGTGCAAAAAATTTCCGGTCTAGATATTGCAGTTCTCTAGAAACTTCTAATGCACGCTCAGCCTGGGACACCCTGTATACCCGTTGGATGATGACAGATGAACAATTCTCAAATATAAGTGATAAAAATCACACAACTCAAAATAAAAGTGATAAAAATCACTTGTATCAGAATTTATATTCTATGATTTCACGATACTGGACAAAAGTTACATTTTTTTGAACTTTTGAACACAGGACGTCAAAGGAAAATAAAAAAATATTTGGATGGGAATTCCTGTGAAACTATTGTAACTAATAAAAAAGCTGCTGCATCATACTGTCGTCGGAAATCGGATACACGAGAGTCTATTTAACCTGTTAAAAAATGTTCATCAAAAAATTACTGTCACAATTTCTTTTTTTTAGGTTGGATGTTGGAAATACTCTTATTATACGGATCATCCGGCCTACCACACTGTTATCTGTTCAGCAGAAGAAAGTCATTTTCCGGCTCTTACGCCCTCTACATTATCCAAGGTATAATATTAGGCGTGATCCCGTGCATAACAGTCATGGCCTTGCTCGAATCCGGCGATTCCTATTATAAAGACATCGGGCAATCATTGGAGAAACTCTTCTTGTTCCTGTTTCCCCAATTTACTTTCACCTACCTTGGTGTTAACTTCTCTAAACAAGTCATCGAAAACTACAACTTTGGTCAAATGCTCCCCATCGAAAAACTGAGCTGGTGCAATGGGCAAAGGTACAACCCTTGTTGCGAAGCGGAAGATTCATCCTCCTGCGCCGCTCACCAAAGCTTCTCACCCTTTATAAGAGCCCGTTGCTCCTTCGTGATCTTTGGAGCTGTCTTCTATTTAGTTATCAACGTCTTATTGCACAGCTACCGGGCGAGAAGGGCCTTTAATTCCTTGATGAACTTATATTATGCTGTTCCTTTTTTAAATAAGGGTAGTAAGTCAGATAGTACGAATAATGAGTCAGAAATAGATTCCGTTCAGATTGATTCAAACACCAAGGACAAGTACATGACGGTAAAAAATTTAAAGAAGAAGTTTGGCGGAAGATATGTGGTAGATGCAGTAAATTTCACTTTGGATAAAGGAGAGTGTATGGGTTTCTTGGGTGTAAACGGAGCTGGAAAGACTACCACTTTCCGCATCTTGACCGGGGACGAGATTCAGGACAAGGGAAAAATACATACTGGACATAATGAGGTATTTTTTTTATTATTGATTTATTTGCGCAATTATGTATCTGTACTATAAATAAAACAAAGTCGGGTTAGTGACACCATTTATAATTCAACAACGGCAAAACATAGCAACAACTGTCAAATCGATTCGTCTCAATCATTCCACATCATTTGGTCAATCAGTCATCCGTACCATAAGATTGACAACAAATTGTTATAGTATTTCCCAAGTCAATTGGAAGTAGTGAGACTTAATTTTTTAGTCCCGACGATGCCGACAAAGGCACCGACAAAGACAGTGCTGAAATTAAGAGCCCCAATCTATCCCAACTGACTTCAGATAAACTATACCTACTGAACCTACAGTTTATCGCCGAATCCGAACAGAACTATTTTAGAGGTTTTAAAGTGTGTCCAACAAGTCAGTGAAGATTTCGACAAACGACACCCAAAATATGACAAAATACAATTTACGAGTGCATTAAAATGACAGACACAACTGCCAGTGCCAGACTATACTAGGCAAATATAATACTCAGTTCAGTTTTTCATTGCCTTCTTTGATGTTACGGCTTATTGGTCGCACTTTTAAATACAGATAAATAAATATGTTTATTTAAAAAACTCACTGCCGGTCTTGGTTTGGAAATAATAAATGATTCAATTTTTAGTACTTCAAGAACATGGGTTACTGTCCACAAAACGATGCATTAAACTATTCGTTAACTGGAAGAGAAATCCTGAAGACAATGGCCATGTTGAGAGGAATAAACGACAACGAATTCGTTCAAAAATATCTCGAATGTTTCGGTAAGTGTTCTATTTTTATTATGATTATCATTATTTCAATAAATATTTACAGAGCTGGATAAGATAGCCGACACTCCTTGTGGATTTTACAGTGGTGGAAATAAAAGGAAATTAAGTTTCGCAGTGGCCATTATTGGAATTCCAGATATCATTCTACTGGACGAACCTACTAATGGCGTTGATGCAGCTACGAGACGCAAATTTTGGACTTTGATCAAACGCATCAAGGAAAGGAAAGATGTAGCTTTTATTTTAACGTCTCATAGTATGGACGAGTGTGAAGCTTTGTGCAACAAGTACGTACACACCAAAAATTAACAAATATTTGACCTACAATCTGTCCAGAGGAAGAATATATGGCAGTGACAGATGTCTATCAGCTCTCCAAAAAAAAATCCTTTATGGGTATTTCGCCACTGCACTGCAAGAAAATCTACAAAATAAAATAGTTATTTTTTGTAAACACTTCTGGGCGTTAAACCTAAACGGACGCTGCTTGTCAGAAAAATGTTTACAGTAATACAAATTTGCCTAACAAAGAAAAAAATGTTTAACGTTTCGGAAAGTTATCTCTTTCCGTCGTCGGAAGCAAAAAAATTCAAAAAATAAAGAAAAAAGCTATTTAAAATATTTAAATTCAACTATTCGAGAACACTTTACTTTTTTAAAAAGATAAAACCAAAAAGCCCCAAACTTTCTGTATGATTATTTTTAAATTTTACGTATGTTATGTTTATTTATGTTATGTTCTTTAAAATCAAAGAAGCGATTGCCATACATTACTAACATCTACAGATGCATGAGCAATACATTTATTTTTATTAGATTGAATGAAAAAAGCCTCTTTTATTTTTCTTTTAGAAGCTATCGCTTCTTTCATTATAATTTTGGCGTTATTAAAATTTATTCTGTGCCCTGTGTCCCAGGAATGCTGACAAATATTAGATTTGCGAAATACCCATAAAGTATTTTTTTTGGAGAGATAAATCCGCCACATAGGTATAGACATTTTTTATGTCTATCATATTAAATCATTCTATGTCATGTGTTGCCATACGCCAAATAAATGAATAAATTGTTAATTTTCTGTCAGTTCTTAGATGTCTGTCAAAATTATATATTCTCTCGCTGGACAGAGTATACATTATTTCAGCTCCTTTTCTCGTCATTAAATAAGTGCAAGTATTTTAAGGGATGGCAAATATTATTATAGACGGGATATAGAATAGGATATAGCAACATTGCAAGACTTCCATACTAGACCTGTTCCAATAACTGGTACACCGTTTTAGCACCGGTGTTGGGCTGACACCGGTGGCCAGATATGGGCTATCCTGTGTTCCAGTGTCGGCACTGACACCGGTGTTGATCTCGAACGGTGTTGACACCGACGTTTCAATACCGGTGTTATCTCTACACTGGCACCGGTGTTCATCTCGACACCAGTTTTGATATCGACACCAGTGTTTTGATAAATGGGTTGAAGAAGAAATCGTCTTAATTAATAAGTTCATAATAAATCTGATAACGTATCGGTGCTTATTTTTATCGTTTATTTAAGCGTACCGACTTTAACTTAACGCTTTCAAATTTAAATACACGTTTTTTGCCAGACTAATCGCTGAAATAAAGTGGAAGCGCCTGATAAACAACTATAAAGTAAATACAAAAACAAACAGAAAACAAAACAAGACATAATGAAACAAAAATCTGTAACTGTAAAATAAACTAAAAAAATATTAAATTAGAAAAAAAACTAAAAAAAAACAACAAACAAACCGACACCGCCACCGGTGTCGAGATGAACACCGGGGTTGAGGTAAACACCAGTACACCGACTGAAACACCGGTGGTCATCAACACCTAACACCAGTGTTCAAATCTCAATACCGAACAGATCTATTCCATACAACGTCAAGAAATTTTAGGAGAATGAATCTGCGGTTTAAAAAGTTTTTTAATATAGGGAAAATGTAAAAATAAACGCAAAATATTCGACATTTTTTTGCAAAAATGTCTCATGGGCGTGTTTCCAAAGTTGAAATATTTTACCAGTTAAAATATATGCACTTAGTTAAGAGATTAAGAGATATCCTGAATAAATTTGTGTTTATTATTATAATTTGTTTCAGTGTAAACATAATGAAAAACGGTACTATAAAAAGACATGGTACCATCTCCAAGCTTAAACAAGAAATTGGTGGTTTTAGTATAAAACTCAAACTAAAAACTGCCGCGGCTTCTGACGTAGAAACTTTGTCGAAAGATGATACGTCTGAGGGTGGTGACGAAGTTGATGGAGTTTATCAACCCAGCCTTGAGACTGTGACAGATGTTAATTCATTAAAGGAATACCTTAATTCAAAATATGGGGGTGAAGTAAAAAGTCAACAACCCGTGAGTTATATACTTATATCTATATTAAGAAAAATTATCAGAGGTCGAATTAGGACAGATATTCCTCTGTGAATAGCTATTATTGAAAACGTTGAATAAAAAGCCTAAGAAAGTAGCATATATCAACAAAATTAGCGCGGCTACGAAATTACCTTAATATAGTTGATTTAAGTTAGAGAGAGTGTTAAAATATAATGTTTGCTAAAATATAATGATTTGCTGGCTTTGTTTTGTTCGGTCAGTGAATGTTAATGGTTATTAAAATTGCTAAAAAATATATTTCTAATCAAAATAACTAAGTTAATTTAATCATTTAATAACAAAAGTAAGGAGATAGTATTGAAACAACTAAATAAAAGTCAAAAAATTGACGTATCCTAATTAATTTTGAGAAATAACTTAAAATAAACCCAGAAATGCACAACAAACCCGCAAAAATTAAAATCAAATTCAACTGTGTGAAGTGAAACGTCAAAACTGACAAAAGAAGGTATTTCCATGACCTTAGATAAAAGAAATAAATTTAGATTGGAATGCTCGGCTTTCCGCTAAAACATATAATTGTTTTGGGTCGCATACGTACGGGATCTGGCGCTGCTATAGCGGTTGCTAAGAACAACCGCAAACAAGAACAGAAAGAATTTTTTCTTGTCAAAGTCAGAGTCTTCGAAAATTATAAAATCTTTGAAAATTTAAACCGTCCTCATTGAAAGAATACCGAAAAGTGTTTAAAGTGTCTATTTTCAAAGTAATTATTGCTATCTTGTGAGTTTAATATAAAATCTACTTGTGAAAAAGTGACATTATAAACTTAAAAAAAGCTGTGTGAACTGTGAACTGCAAAAACAATCGTGGATCGTGGCATAACGTCGGTTTCCAATGTTTCATAGGTATTTCATACATGTCCTTATATAAAATAAAGTTTCTTATATGAACTGAACTGTGTTTTATTTCTAAAATTAAAAAGAAAATAATAAATTTGAATAAATAATATATTAGGCGACATAATTCCGGAAAAAGCCGAACCGCGACCGTTTCAAGAATAGCGCCAAATAGTATTTACATTGTCTTTATGGGCACTTTCCAATCTAAACTTGTTACATTTATCTATGTTCCATGACATCCGTCTCTAAAGCATGGAAATAAAAAATAGTGTTAGACATTGGTTAGTCTCCTTTGGTTTTTTTAAATTGATGGTTTATTTTTTATTAAAAATAATAATGATAAAAACGATTTTACACATATAAAGCTGTACTTGATAAGCAATTTAGATATATATTGATTTAATGTACCTACGTAATAAAATAAATGGTATTTTTTAGGGTTTGCTTCACTACTATATTAAAAACAAATCGTCGAAAAAATTATCGACCCTCTTTAAGGAATTTTACGAGATTCAGCAGGATAAGCCAGAACTTATAGAGGATTATTACATCACCGATGCTTCGCTCGAAGACGTTTTCATGGACGTAGCCAGTAACCAAGATAGTAAAGCTTAATTTGCACTTCACTAAACACGCTGGCACTAATTTTAGCTGTTAAGCAGTCCCAAACCAACCACCGTGTAGAATGGAGGAGAGAAATACTAGACCAAAATGAAATTTTAAAATCGAAATATGAGGTAGAATACACCTTTTTATATTTACCTGATACGGAAGCTTGTTCAAACTTATTTCGTTTGTCCAAATAGTTCTGATATTTCCAAAAAATATTTCCAGTTTTTTTTATTTCAATTTTTGATAAATTTTTCATTATAGAATATATCGTTAATAGTTTAATTTTATTTTTGTTGCGGTGGCTGGAACCTCTGCATATAAAACAAAAATTTTCAAACTGGTATTTCGAGAGGTAAACATTCAGTTATTCAGTAAGAATTTGAGTGATTACAAGAACAAATGATTGGGAAGAAGAATACAGATAAAATAAAACATCGTTGTCTATAATTATCTTATATAGGGCGTGCCAAAATTCGTAGCAAACGGGAAGTAATTTATTATTGAGTTATCGAAAAACAGTTTTTGTGGAATTACTTCAACATGGCCAACAATAAAATAATTCATTTTGATGTATGTCATACAACTGTCATGGCAGCAAATTTCAAAAATCTTGATAATTTAGGTCTATATACCCAGTTTGATAAATGTATAGGGACTTTTCAATTTTTTGGATATTTTTTTCTGAAAAATAGTATTGTTTTGTTTGAACTAACACATTCAAAATTACTTTATATACTTTCTAATCAATTTCAACGTCTATGAAAAAAAAAACAGTAACGGTTGAAGTTTATATTTTAATTATTTACAGAACACTCAAGAAAAATACTGTATTAGGCGATATTAATCTTTACTTTTTTTTCAAAAATAGTTTCTGTATATTTATGAAAGTTGGGCACGTGGACGTAAATCATATTTTGAACAACTTTACTTTTGCATAATGACAGTTGTCGCATGACATGCCATAATGATCTTTTGTTAAAAAAAATCTGCAGGTATATTTTTTAATTATTTCTCAATTGAAGGGTCCAGGGGAAAAACTTGATAAGCATCAATTTCTTAATTTTAGGATTTTACAATATTATAGTAGGTCTAACTGGTCCCAACAAAATGTATAAACTCTGCAGGGCAATAAGTTATTAATTCCTATGATATATGCCTAGTAAAAATATAGAATACACGGAAAGAACCTGATAACCACCAGCCGTCCAGTGCTCTCCCGTCCCCCTGCGTGCTTACGTTTTCCCCTGGACCTTCAATTATAAAAAGAATTTGAACCAAATGTTCGGCACGACACGCACACTCTTTTGACTACATTCGACCCTATTCTAATCTTCATAAAGACTAAACTTTCAAAGACGCCTCGCGGCGCTGTTTGATCTGAACACTAGATCAGAATACAATGTAAAGAACGCCATTTGAATATATTGGCTGATAGGTCGATTCGGAAGTGTTGCCACTTTAGTGATTTTACCACTAAATCTGGTGGTTAGACCCGCTTGTTAGTGGCAAAATTTGACGTCTAGTGAGTGGTAGTTTCTTTAGCGGTTATTTATGTTGAATCCCAAGCCCCAACGCCGGTTTTGGCTACTCGGTAAAGTCCAAGAGTCCATTTATATAAGTAATAATAATAAAGTTGTTCAATCAGTTTATACTTCTAATTTTCGCGTAAATATTTAGATAAAGTGATTTTTTAAGTAAGAGAGCCACGATAATGCCCCGATGCGTCTTTTGGTGACGATGTAAAAATTAAAAAAACCAATACTATTTTTTATATCGATTCAAATAAGAAAATAGTGAATTGAATTTTGGTGGTTTCGAAAATACAATTTAGTGGGGAACTAGTTACATAGTTGGCCAACCTGCCGGAGTGGGTGCGGCGCGCTTGTGTGCTGTCGGTAAAGCAGGCCCTAACCTAACGCAGCTTGGTGTGTACGGCTCAATTAAAATGTACAGAACCATGCGTCGCAAGTACGTCCCTCAGTGTGAACGGATCTAAAGGAACTTTTAGACCTCGTTTACATTTAGAACTGACAGTTCTGTTTGCGGCGCGGCGTCTTGGAAAGTTAGTCGAACGATCAAGTGTGCCTGTCGAGCCGGCAGACGTCGACAAAAATTTCGACGCGTTTCGACGCGCAGTCGCTTCTAGTGTGAACCGTGTCGAATTAAGTCGATTAGTGTGAGCGGGATCTTGCTTAATTGATAATCATTTTTAGAATCTCTATATTAGTCTATATTGGACTCGAAATAAGTTGGAATGACCGTTTCGTGTTTATTTAGATATTCCTTAAACATTTTGATTTTATGGCAGCATTTCAACTGATGCAAGTTTTATTAATAATAATATTTTTTAATGTCTGCCGAACCCAAGTAGAAAATATATTTTTGTATTAAATCTATAGTACGAGAGCTAGCAACGTCTGGAAAAAGTATTTATAAAAAGCTGGCTCTTTGATATATCTTTTACTATGCTCTCTGGAACAGCGGGCAGGGTGTTTGCTACTGCGTATTGAAAGAAGTTCCTATATTTTTATTTAGCCCTTTAAATACTAATATTGAATATAAATCGAACAAGTCTCCACAGAGCGGCGCGAAAACGAGAAGTCCAGGGTTCAATACCGGCTTCGGGTAAACTTTTTTTATTTTATTTTCGTATTTTATCTAATAGTAAAGTATTAAATAAATTTAATTTTAGTGATTAAAAAAACAATTATTTAATACTCTATTATCAGAATATAAACGAAAATAAAATAAATAAAAGTTTACCCCGAGCCGGTATTGAACTCTGGACTCTCGCTTTATAGGCTGAACGCTTTCGCACCGCGCTATGGAGACTTGTTTGATTTATTCCGTTAAATACTGGTATTTAACGGAATAAATAAAAAAAATATATGATCTTATTTCAATGCGCAGTAGTGAACGCAACGTCTATCGGCAGCCAGACGACTCGCATGCTATTCCAGAGAGCATAGCAAAAGATATATTAAAAAGCCAGCTTTCTTAAAGGGTAGTGAAACTGGGGGGGGTGAAATTTTGTACAAAAATGTTAATTCTAGGAGTATGAAATTTTGTACAGAGTTTCCTTAAGTGACGAAAGTGAGTACCTAGAAGCTAATTTTGACATTCATCCCCTAGAAATAAGGGATGAAAATTTGTACTAAAGTTTGTTACAATCGGTTTTAGAAGTATGAAATTCTGCACAGACGTTCATATGTAACGTAATTTAGCACTAAGTAGCACTTTTGGAAATTCGCCCTCTAAGGGTGTGAAATGAGGGTGAACGTTCTGGAAACAATTCTGTTGAAGGAATATGAAAATTTGCACAGAGGTGCCTTATGTAGCGTAATTGAATAATTAGAGTGATTTTTGGAATTCATTCCTTAAAAAGGAATGAACTAGGGGTAAAACTAGGGGTGAAAATTTGTATAATTTTTTATGTAAAATCCGTTCTAGGACTAGGAGTATGAAATTCTGTTCAGAGGTCCCTTAAATGATGAAAGTGAGTACCTAGAAGCAAATTTTAGGCATGCATCCCCTAAAAAATAAGGGATGAAAATTTGTACAAAAATTTGTTAAAATCGGTTTTAGAAGTATGAATTTTGCAGACGTTCCTTTTGTAACGTAATTTAGCACTAAGAAGCAATTTTTGGAAATTCGCCCTCTAAGGGTGTGAAATGAAGGGTGAACGTTCTGAAACAATTCTGTTGAAGGAATATGAAAATTTGCACAGAGGTTTCTTATGTAGCGTAATTGAATAATTAGGGTGATTTTTGGAATTCATTCCTTAAGGGGGTAAAACTAGGGGTGAAAATTTGTATAATTTTTTACGTAAAATCCGTTCTAGGACTAGGAGTATGAAATTCTGTTCAGAGGTCCCTTAAATGATGAAAGTGAGTACCTAGAAGCAAATTTTAGGCATGCATCCCCTAAAAAATAAGGGATGAAAATTTGTACAAAAATTTGTTAAAATCGGTTTTAGAAGTATGAATTTTGCAGACGTTCCTTATGTAACGTAATTTAGCACTAAGAAGCAATTTTTGGAAATTCGCCCTCTAAGGGTGGGAAATGAGGGGTGAATGTTCTGAAACAATTCTGTTGAAGGAATATGAAAATTTGCACAGAAGTTCCTTATGTAGCGTAATTGAATAATTAGAGTGATTTTTGGAATTCATTCCTTAAGGGGTAAAACTAGGGGTGAAAATTTGTATAATTTTTTATGTAAAATCCGTTCTAGGACTAGGAGTATGAAATTCTGTTCAGAGGTCCCTTAAATGATGAAAGTGAGTACCTAGATGCGAATTTTTGGCATGCATCCCCTAAAAAATAAGGGATGAAAATTTGTACAAAAATTTGTTAAAATCGGTTTTAGAAGTATGAATTTTGCAGACGTTCCTTATGTAACGTAATTTAGCACTAAGAAGCAATTTTTGGAAATTCGCCCTCTAAGGGTGTGAAATGAGGGGTTGGACGTTCTGGAACAATAAATTCTGTTCAAGGAATATGAGAATTTGCACAGAGGTTTATTATGTAGCGTAATTGAATAATTAGAACGATTTTTGGAATTCATTTCTTAAGGGGATAAAACTAAGGGTAAAAATTTGTGTAATTTTTATGTAAAATCCGTTCTAGGACTAGGAATATGCAATTTTGTACAGAGGTCTCTTAAGTGATGAAAGTGAGTACCCAGAAGAAAATTTTGGATATGCACCCCCTAAAAAATAAGCACTCCCTATAAAACAATTAAAATAAAAAAAAAATGTCTAAAAATAAAAAAAAAGTTGGGGTGGACCACTCTTATCACTTAGGGGTATAAAAAATAGATAACCTGGGAATAGGTTGTGACCAAACCAAACCAACCAGACCTACTGAATATACTTATAAATTTTATCAAAATCGGTCTAGCCGTTTCGGAGATGGTAACAAAAACTTAAAAAACAACCCCTATTAAAAAATAGGGGATGATGGTAGAACAGTGAAAATTTAGAGTTGTTTGTATTTTTAATGCCAAATAAAAAAAATTAAAATATTTTTTTCAAAATAAAAAAAATGGGGGGTGAGCTACCCTTATCACTTAAGGGTATAAAAATAGATAACAAACGTATTTTCAGACCTACTCAATATACATAATAAAACGTCATCAAAATCGGCTAAGCCGTTTCGGAGATGGTAACAAGAAAACAACCCGTATTAGAAAATAGGGGATG